AAAGAAATTGCATTAACCTGCCTTCAAAATTGCGATTAGAAGCAGTTACTGGGAAATCTGTATCACAGACAGAAATCTCTGAACACTACGGACTCTTAGACAAGCCAAATCAAAGCAGTGAAAGCATAAACCATTACATCCCTTTGCTTCTCAGAGCTGATTTTCCACAGCACGAGGATTTTGACTGCGGTTTTTTTGGGTACTTTTCTGCAATTAAGATGATCCATTCCTCCAAAATATTGGAACCACCTAAAAAAGTACCCTTAATAAGTAGATATGTTCCTCTTAGATGCTGGCAGAAACTAAAATAATACATGATAATTCCAAATACAGACCTTGCTTTATGATTTAAAGCCAGGTAGGGCATGACAGAGCTAGTGAGCCTTTTTTCTTTATTTAAAAAAAATAAGTAAGCAATGCTCCTTTTGCTTAAATCTGGATCACTACAAGTAAAGCTGTCCTATTACATGCCATGGGGGGGAGTGGTCAGCGTCATGCCCTGGCAGCCCTTTACTCCCGGGAAAGGACCCCGATACCCACTGTATACGAAACTGGGCAAACCCCAGAGGCCAGAGGAAAAATCCTCTCTAACGGGGATCAAACCCCAGTTGTCCAGTCCATAGCCAGTCACTATACTCACTGAGCTACCCAATCATTAAGAGGTAAAAAATAAATAAAATTTAAAAATAGAATAAAAATGTGAAAATAGATACAGAATCCGAAACGCGCATACTCTGTGTAATTTCAGTCCTCGTAGCTGCCACAGAACCGTTGCTAGAGCTTTTCTTGTTTGGGCCCAAACCACCTGGAGAACCTTTCCCTTTCTTGTGCCTTCTTCGAGGCTTTTTCTTCACACCCTTTGGAGTTTTTCCTACAAACAGAAAAGAGCACGGTTCTTCAGTCTCAATTAAAATTTTTACCCACACTATTAGTTACTTAGTTTTCAGCGGTGGGTGGTACGGGAAGAACATATACTTGCTCATTGGTGAACTGGCTAGCTGCTGGATTTCAGTGTAGACGGCCATTAACATCAAAATCTAGTCAAGTAATTTTTTTAACTGCTAACAATATTGTATGTTACAGATAATTCTTGTGAGATTTCAGATTATAATCACCATCAAACAGAAAGGTAAATATGAAATTGATGAAGCCACTGTTGTTTTAATTTTGAAGGAGGGGGACATATATCTAAAGTGCTGCCTCTATCATCACGGTAATGGAGGCAGCAAAGACTAAGGATAATTGGTATACTTCTACCAGACTACATGGCACAATCCAAAAAACGCCCATCTTCAGAATCAACGCCGTGAAAACCACAAATCCTAATTTTCCACACATGGATACAATGAGAACTGCATAGTGGATTTTCATGCATACACCCAAAGGAAAACCTAGTGTACAATGGATGATAATATTAAAATCTAAAAGAAATATAGTGAATGTAGGCTGGATTCAACTGGCTCAGGATAGGCTTCAGAGGCTGAATGTTGTGGACACAGCAACAACGCTATCAATTTACGTTCCAACCAACAAAGAAAAGTTGCAATACGGTCATAGAAAATTCTGAATAATTACAAGACAAATTTATTTTTTGCCTATTTGATGGAAAAGACTATTTTCCAAAATTAAATTACACTTATAACTCTTGCTACACTGCTGACAAAACACAACATCTCAAATAAGAGTCCGAAACTCATTTTAGGCAAGTCGTATTCTTTGCACAATCAGGTCACCGCTTGTGGACGTAATGGTCACGAGATTAAAAACACAATTGACATTTAAAGTAACCATTGCTACAGCACTGATAGTGCACACTCTAAGTGGCCACTACTGGAAGTTATTAAAATGCCAATACAAGGAATAAAACAAACTCACCAGCAGCTGCCGAAGCCTTGGTCGATGGAGCTCTGGGCCCCTCCAGTTTGTGCCCAACGAACTGGCACCAGCCAACAGGATACATGTCCGGACTCTCACAGTCCAGCCACTGGTCGTACTCCTCTTCCCAGCCATCAAAGTGTACCTTGAGGAGACGGCCCACGACACGAGACACCGTTCCAACGCAGACCAGTCGCGGATCCATGAGATCAGCTGCCTCCAATCTCATGCCCACCAGAAATCCATGTGCTGGGATCTCCTGAACCAAATACACGAGAAACAAATGAGTCCGAAAGCCCGCATTAAACTCAACAGCTCCAGCAAAGTGCTGGGTCAGAGGTAGGCCCAAATAAGAACTGGTACACGCCCCTGCCAAAGACAAAAGTTTTCAGAACAACTGCAAACTCTTAATTGATAAAATGATAATAAACCAAAGAATTTGCAGAAACCTTCGGAATCTTCAGGAAGAAAACTGTTATAGTACCAGTATACAAAAAGACCTGCAGCAGAGGCAGTGACCTGACTTGGAGAAACAGGATATAAAAAAAGCAAATCACTGAAATTACCCTGTTAAAGAGAACCAGAGGCGCTGTTGTGAGATTTGACTCCTCCAGATACGTAGACCAATCAAATTTTCCCGCTTCATAACCTTTAGGTGGAGTCAAAGGGATGGAATTTACATCGCAGAATCCTGCGGGAAAGACGCACGGAGAGCTGGCATGGTAGCAAAACCAGTCTGAACCTGAAGCATCCTCGTCGTAACTGTCGATGCGGATCATTATGTAGTCCTCTCGCAGAACTTTCATCACAGTAGCCACGCAGATTGCAGACAGGTTCAGCGGATCAATGGCCTCCAATTTCATACCCTCCTGAAATCACCAAATTAAAGCACCCACTTTTCAAAGAAATGAAAATGCACATTTAGAAAAACATACACAACCTTCTTACTTAGGAATGCTCAATTAATTAACAAACTTTTTCACAGCACTTGATTTGAAAAATTAATATATTTTTTTATGTGCAATGAAATTTAAGGAGCTCAGTTATGACGGTCACTAAAATGCAAATACCTGAAATGAAACGTCCGCAGAAGATGAAAAAGAGGGAGGCGTGCTGAAGTATTCTTCTGTGGCATCATTTTCACCCCATGATCCTTCTTCGCAACGCTCGAGGTACTCCTCTGGAGCATCTATGCTTTGACCCACACGTCGGGCCCATCCTACCGGGTGTATAAGGGGTGAATCCTCATGGCACCAAAAGCCATTGTCATCTGGATCTGCATTGTAATAGCACACGTGTAGTCTCTTGCCAACAATCTTCTGAATCGTTGCCACCTTCACCTGAGAAATGCGATTTTTGTCCACAACCTCTAGGTTCAATCCACACCTGGAAATAATTTTTTTTTTTACCGAAGTTATTCATAGCCTTAGCAAATTACATCTCAGTAAGTTATCTCATTACATCTGCTCTGATAATATTTTAGAACAGACGTGTTCACATCTATGCAGAGTTATAAAACAGCTGACTATTAAACCTTCTTCCTATAATTTATCATGCTCTTGTTTTGAACATTCAAAAACAAACACACACAAGAAATACTACACTTTTTAAGAAAAATTGTGGCATCGGAGGTAATGCATGTCTCAACCAGGACCAACATTTACAGTGGCCAATACGTGTGGCAAACACAGGCAGATGATTGAAACGGTGACTTCAGTCGGGGTAACAGTTACCCTACGTTTTGAAAATTTATATACAATCTCAATACCCACCTGAATCTGGACACAAGGCTGTCAGTAACTTTATTGTAGAAGTTTGAGGGGAGAGTGCGTGCTCCTGTCAAACGCTTCACGAGGAACTCTTTCCAGTCTTTGTACTTGTCTTCAATTGCTGCAGTGAGAAAGTTACGAAATTACTTCAAATCTGAGATTTAATCGATAAAAATGAATTCAAAGTCGCAGAAACTCCATGGGTAATCGAAAGTTATCCACTGCACGACTGTACTATATATACTCACTCTTGGGCGGGATAAGCGGTTTTCCACGAGTAGCACACCATCCCACCGGGTGCACAGAGTTCAAACAAAGACTAACCCAGAAGTCTTTGCTGCAGTTCTGACCAAAGCCTTCGTAACGAAGCAACGCCTTGTACCCAGCTATCCGCAGGACTGTCGCCACCCAAAATGAATCGGGAAATGATTCTGTAAAATCATCACAGTCCATGTTCTCCACTTCAACCTTCATCCCTACAGTAATGTTCTCCCAACAGTCGGCCAGAGGAGCCTGCAACACAACGAACAAACCATTTCAACTCTCAAAATGTCTGACAGGTACCTGTACAAATTGAACAGTTTGGTAGCTGCAAATCCACAATTTAAGAGCACAGCTTCCAAACTATCTGCAGCAGAGTCCTTACTTATAAACGCTAAACAGAAGAATATTTAGATTGACTTAAGGCAGCACTGGCAATTTTACGCAAGTATTAAAAGTGCAACCTAATTTGACTTGGCAGCAAATCTGTCAATACCGACCTCCCAACTATGCTTTGTTAATATGACAATAGAATATAACGCAGAGAAAAACATGAGGCTGCATCCATAGAACACAGTGGTTACACCACAATCCGGATAAAACAGCCAATGAATTATGATGCACCTTATACAACAAAATATCACAGCATCATACTTGGGGGTGGGTGGACAAATAAAATATTTTTCTATTCCACACAGTTAACGAATAACGTAAGAAGGCAGATAAATTAGCAAGAAGGTACTTGCAACAAACTTATGTATAACTTACATGACCAAAACAAGAGACAGGTGCCGCAATAAAACCTGGTTCCGAAAACTGACATTTCCACTCGTACGTATTTGCCAATTCTGAGCGATTCCTCTTCACCATTACGGGGCTCGGTGGATCATCCAGCGGTATTGGAAGTGGAGGGGATCTGTGCGGTGCATCAGACCCTTTAACTTCCTCTTTGTGAGGCCCATCCATAGGAGGAAACTGCAATTAAAACAGCTGCAAATACTACTATTGTAACTTCAGAAATATGAGACATCAAACAAACTCAGACATGATTTCTTTACATAAACAAAACCGTCTTGTGAAAATTGAATTACATTTTCTTTAACTTGCTGCTAAAATTAAACCATGTCAAATGTTAACACAGTGTTTTACGTACATAAAGCGAGCAATGACTGGTAAGAAACACGGCGCTTGGAACGTCAACAAGTGGTTTATATACATAATCACCAGATTCAACAAAGGGAAGAGAGGTCATGAAAAACAAGTATGGGGCATTAGTGTTTAGTGGGGCACCTGAATCCCATGAGCTTGACAGGACTGAATAACCACAAATGAAAGTGGAGGGGGGAAAGCTGGAACAAGTTACAATTTCTGACCAAAAACACCGAAAAAACTCCATCTTCCAATAACATACCAAATACAATTGTCTGTGTGATATTCAGTCTGGTTACTGAAATATTTTTTTTTACACATATCAGTGCAAAATTTAAACAAATTAATGACTACATTAAATAAACATGTACAAAACTTATTATGACATTTTATTGGGGGTTGGGGGGTGAAGAAAACAGATTTATGAACCTAAAAAGAATCTCGATATACTGATAAGAAAAAGCACTTCTCAAAAACGTGAACTCGGATGGGGCAAAAGAAAAAGTACATGAAACAACTATTACCATAATAGCATTAGAATATGAACACTTTGAAGCTAGAACATGTCTACTAAACACACATAAATAACTTTAAACGCGTAAGGTGACTCACAGTGAGCAACGGAAATGGTTCAGGAACCGTCAGCCCTGTTCTCTCCAGTTCAGAATATTCCCGAGCACAAGCCAAGCTGCAGAACCGTCGCTCCTTTGTATAGAAGGCGTGTTTCACGCCTATTGCTCCGCACTTTTGACAGACAGCTGCAAAACATGTAAATGACTTACACACGTGACCAAAGTTTATCTCCCCACAATTTACACACAAACACACTCAGTATTATGACGCTTCTTTCTAATGGACCTGACTGACAAGATACTCCTCATCTTTCACCTGATCATGGAAACAGATTCAGTTTCCAAAACACTGCGTTCCCTGCAGAATACCAGATGACAGACAAGACCAAAAATCCAATAATAACAACTGCAATACACAATCATCAAAACTCTTTGGAACTGGCGTAAACATAACTTGCAAATGGTTGCAATTTCTATCAGAAACTGATGGATGAATGGTGAACAAAGTATTTCATGATTTACCAAGTGTTTACAACTGGGTATGATGAATTACTGAGTCAACTCACTGCTCTGAACATTAAATTTAAGTACCTTATAGATTAGAAGAACAAGGCATCACCAAACAAGTGTGCCCACGTCATTTATGTTTAACTAGCCCGTAAGAGCGTACACTCATTTTCTTCTCCAATACTTTCGGTGATCTACCACTTGCATAACCGAGCAATTCTCTCTTAGTCCAAAATATCATACTTACATGCGCAATTCTTTCTCATGACTTACAATGTCCGCAAAATTCCCAAAGCAGCACCACACATGATTATAATCCGTGTGTAATCATTACAAAAAATTTGTCAAAACAGCACTTCTACAAATATTGAGAAAATCAATTCATGAAGGAAAATAAAGAAAGGACACCTTTTTAAATACAGCCGTGTGATTTTTTCAAGCTCATAAGCCAAGGAAGAATTTTAGATGCCTGTTGCAATCAAACATATTGCACTGGCAACTAGAAATGTCTCTACACAGGATGATTCACGACTACATACACACTCACTACTGTCAAACAGCCTGTCATGTCAATTAAATTGCCTGCATTGATACAGGACGATCGACAATTTCACATAATAAACCAAGAGTGTATTCCAAAGGACATTCCCAGGCAGGAATGTCCTATTAACACGTCCAGTTCCCAATGTGGGTACTTAAAATTCAACAATCATTTCTGCATCCTGAATATGAACAATTTGATGAAGCAGTCCATCTGTTGTTTGTAGTTTCTGTTCTTACAGGTGGTGAACACAGACAGAAATCTAACGGACCAAGGACTGGTGATCTCAGAGACCAAGTCCGCAGACTGCCACTCAACTGATTACGATACTGACGGTCAAGACACTGCATCAATCGTCAGTCAAAATACGAAATCACACACATAACTGTGCAGTCAGAGAAATATCTAAAAGGCGGTGCAGTTCAGTGTGTAAAAGTATCCTCGCATGAACATCACCTGTAAGACGGCCCTCAAAAATACATGTTAAAGTATGCTTACTTACTACACCCCACCCCACATTAACAGAAAAGCATGTGGCGTGCATAAAGGCGTTAATTTCGCTGAAACTTGAAAAAATCAAAGAGATGCTCCTACATCCGGACCAGATTTGTCAAGACCACTCTTGTGCATTAGTAAACATTTAACAGAACAACATCTAACATAACATTAAAAGCAACATGACTAAATTTTCATACAAAACTGCAAAACACTGTGCGATTTATGCGGGAAAGGCAGCAAATGAAAACGAGAGAATGACAGAACAAAAACACAGTATAAACCAGCACCACACTGAAAGCAAGCACCTCAACACAAAATGGATGACCACATGGAGAATTGCAAAGCTAATTCAAGCATGTCCAAGAGGGAGGGATATCATCGTATGAGAGGATAATTTATGCATTCGTTTAACCTGTACAAGTTAGAGAAGACTTGAAATTATTAAAGGCGTATATTTAAACATTCCACTTTAGAGAGCGATAAAACTATTACAACTCCTGGTTATCTTCCATTTTCACACTTACATAAATTTTACTGAAACCTAATTATAACGCTCTCTGAGATCTCTTAGAAGTGCAATTGCATGCATTGTAAGATATTTATTAACTTAGAACTGATAACTGCTTTTCCTCCGACATCATGACCCTCCCAACTGACTGATCTTTAACTTACCCATTCCATCCCTTTGAATTGGTATGACACTAAGGTCTGTGTCTTTCTGATAGGCTATTGGGGTCTTCAGTTTCAGAGCTGGATGTCTGATTGGCTTGATTTTCCGTGCAGGTTGGTGGCCAGCTGTCTGGGTAGAAGAACTTGTCAAGAAGCGCGGTGCTTCCTCACACAAGGACTCATATTCATCCAGCATTGAGATTGCGAACCCATCCATTTCCTGAGGGTGCAAAATTTAGTTCACCTAAGTATTTACCATTCTGCCCAGTAATTCATCTTCATCTCTGAAACATTTTCACCTTCCTACAAACCTAGGCTCTAGTCATAGTACACTATCCACGTACACACAGAGAAAGACTTTGTGATACCGGAGTTTAAATTAACGCTGATGAAATTCGTATTCATTCGGTTATACTTCTTGCGGTATTTTTGCTGCCCTAGTGTATGGACAATGAACACAAACAATTTCATGCGAGGTGTGGTAAATTACTGCCAATGGACAACACAAAAAGAATCGTTAAAACCTCAGATCTGAGGTTAATATGGAGGCGATGCCAACTGTGGTCTTCTGGGAAGTGGGTAGTAGGTGGTTGCCAACATTTTTAAGGAACATAACACATCCATATTCAGGCTTGAAAATGAGTGGTACACTGGTAACCAACCACCTTTAAGATTACACCTGGCAAGGGATAAAATGTTCAATACATAAATCGACACGTGACGCTCTTAAACTTACGATGCAAAGCCTGTAGAGTTAACAAGATCAAGTGTCCACTTTCACCAAAACAAAATCTGAAATGCTAAATCCAATGCTGCGGCAACTCATCATGCACATTTTATGAAGAGCTCTTGTACATTTAGTACAGTTGGGTCACACATTAATGAAATTTTTGAAGTACTGAATGTTATATTAAACAACTTTCGAGAACAAGCAGCTTTGGAAAGAAACCTCTCAAACTGTGAAAGAGGTACACATAATAAACTCCTTCTGAAGATTACAAGTTCACTAAAAGTCTGTTTCAGAAGGTTTTATCCATCACTTACTCAAATACCTTTCCTTACAACTAGATGTAATTTTTCTCCAGAATAGAATACGGCCAAAAACAAAATTTAATGCCAAGATAACATAGATAAAAAATCAATTATTTAAACAGTCTGAAAATGCTATTAAAACTTGAGGTCAATACGGATTTTAAAAGAATTGGCAGCATCTTCCACAGTTAAGACATGAGTATTCTATTGTGCAGCAACGAGGAGTCTCCAGACACACAAAAGTAGCAAAAATAGCAATGGGAAAAATAAAACGTCAACTTATTCTCATATCGACAGGGATGGGGAATTGTACAATTAATATAGTAATGTGAGGTATATTAATTTTCCCATTTATAAGAGACCATTCCCATTTTTTGGTTTACTGAAACTTCACAGTAGTTTATTAGAAATACTACTAACCTACTATTTATAAACAGGCTCAGATGTTACTAAATATTTATCTTTAACAAAACCTGTCATTGAGATATTTAGCACTGCTTTTGCTCAAGTAACCTGACAGTATCAAGTTTAAATTGTGCTCTTGCAATTAGGCTGATCAGATGCATACTAGTTAAATGATCTGACATCCTTCATCAAGCTATACTTGCTCACAGCGACATCTCGTACAGACTTACACTAACGAAATTAACAAAGTCTCTTCTGATATAAGGCAACTACCTTCCGTCACACAAGATGACAAAGAACAGGCTGAGAACCCAATACCTATATCAAAATAGATTTAAATATTACTTAGATCAGATATCAATAAATATTAATACAGAAGAACGTAAAGACTTTCAAATCGTCATGGAAAAAACTATGAGCGAAGTGCAGGGAATGCAAGGTAAACACTGGAAGCACAAGACGCTTTACTTCTAGAATTAACTTAAACAAGCAACAACAAAAAAGAAAGAACTGCACGTGAGCTGGTGAATCTCAAGAACCACACAAGCGCACAAAACACAGTGCAACGAAGCTAAAGCTAGAGCCACGAACAGACTGCCAAAAGCACACAAAGAAAACTGGGACGAGTACATTTCAAATACAGAAATGGACATAAAATTAAATATGGCTTCAATACTTGAAAGACCTACCTGATTAACAAAACCCTCCGTCAAGAGGAGACAGAAGGCATAACGGAGGAAGACAGACTAAAATTTGAGGAATTGGAAGCAGTATAAAGATATAAGAACCCCACGTATTGATAATTTACAAATGGAGTTGCTTAAATATGTGCCAAAACAGCAAAATACAGATTTATAGATATATTAAATCACTGCTGGATATGAAGAAAAACAGCAGAAGATTTTCACAGTAATACTCACCTGGTGACTGCGAAATATATTAAAAGAGCAAATAGTATTAGGAGGGAGAGTGTAATGTATTAAAAGTGAATCAAACTTTGTGAGAAATAAAAGGAAAGAATATAACTGCAAAACCAAATTTTACTTAAGAGCTACACTGATGCACCAGACACAGGCAAGAATAAAATATGGCAAACCCCACACAGCAGATAAATTATTAAAATATATTGTGTGCAGTAATGCATAAATTATATATGAGAATGCTGACAACATATACTTAAGCAGTAATGCCACTGCTGTCTGTAACAGACTGTACATACTACATAAAAAAAGAAATTATACACTCAAAGCAATAATAATGGAGATGTTCTAAACAGTCTTACCAAAACTAACCTCATAGATACACATCCAAATATTATCAACATTCACAGAATGGAAAGAAAGCTCCAAAACAAAATATTCTTTGCTCATCCATGGCCGAACACGTACACATAATTCCACGCAACACCAAAAATGATTTTTATGTGTTAATGCTCAACAACTGTTATCCAAAATGATGTAACTTCGCTGCTTTCGTAAGTCTGATAGCAAAACATTTATTTCTAGATGTCAGAGTTTAAATGATCAATCACACTCCCATTGGCTCACAGTTTCTACAGAATCCTATAAATGGATGTCAATCTTTATGAATATAAAAATGGTGTCCTCTAACCTTTTGTTGGAACCACTCATCAAAATCCATCAATTGGTTCTCAAACTGATATATGTGGATCCACATGGACACAAATGCCCGTACATGCACGAACAAATAATAAGGGGCACTTTTACAAAGGCATCAATTGCCACAGTAATGTATTTACTAGCAAGGACTGTACTTTTGTATAAGATTGCAAATATCATGTTTCCACTTTGTTATAAAGAAGGTTGCTCTGTATCAGAGTCAGCAAAAGATTATCCGATTTCTGGTGCCGAACTTTGAATTCCACTGTCTAACAATCATTGTGACAGATGTTGCTTACAATACACCATTTCATCAGACTAGCATCAACATAACATAAGTTCTGCGCCATAGAACTAAATATCAAAACCAAATGCAAGCTCACAATCATTTCAGGAAGTAGAGGCTGATTAACAAGTTTTGTAATTCAGCAACTGCAATGCTAAGAAATTCTCCCATCCCCATACCAAGAAAGACCCCAAGAAGTTTCCTTACTGGAAATAATGCAGTTTTGCAATTACACTGTCCACACACTATAATCACAGAAACCGAGTAATAGTCAGTTCCTTAGGTTATCAACTAAAATAACAACAGACAACCCTCATGACTCTTTTACACCATCTGACACATCATGATAGTCTCAACAAACAAAATCAGTAGAGTATGTGAAGCAGTCCCTACCTAAATATAACTAAAATATGTATGCTTAAACTACACACATAAAAACATACTTTGTGCTGACAACTGTATTTAATGGAGTTCTGTTTAACCATTCTGAGTGTATGGTAGCAAATGGACAATCATCTTCCGAAGCCATAAGCACTGAATCATAATCTAAAGGTTACATAAATCAACCATCATAATGAATTATATTTTGGATTCACAAAAGTACTGCTTCCCTTATCCCTTGATTAATTCCACAGGGAGTACACACATCTTTATGCAAATGGAGGGGAACAAGCAAAGCAAAACACAAAAAGCAACAGAAATTATACAGGAAATAAGCAGACATGGGAGTCAAGTGCAAATACTGAGACTAGTATGTACAAAATATTTATCCATTATAAACTGTATATCAGCTTTAATGGTATGCCACTGTTTACAATCACACAGTAGCAAACTAGAGTGACATTCAAGCATATGGCAAATATATAATATTCCCACTTACAAGAGGCACACGACCCCTCATGTCCTCCAGTGGGTGTGGACTGTCATTGAAGAGGGGGCTCCCAGACTGAGAATCGAGCATCATCTCATTGGATTCATGTGACAGGAGCATGTCTCCCATCCAAATCATTCCTAAATCTAAAACAAAAATAATTAAAATCTTTAAAATAAACATTATGATATAATCAAAAAAGCATGAATGATTTATGTCATTAGAAAAAAGTTGACAACACCAAATACGTTGAAAGTGACAAACATTTATTGCATTCATATTAAATTTTAAAAAAATACTGCATCACAATTAAGATTACTGACACTCACTAAATAAACTTTAACAGGGTGTCAATTGTGACACTACATTACTTTAATAAACAGCTAATTATATCTTTGAAACTGTTAAGAAACTACGAACCATCCCGAGTCGCCATTTCCATGACAAAGGAGTTCCTTTGGTATCGAAATTACAGGGAAATTATCATTTGTAGTACAATGTATATGTATAAAACATGATTTACAATATTAAACGTATCCACACATGGCAAACGTAATATGCTTAATTGTAAATATTACAGTTTTTACAGGAAAACCCTAAAGCGAACAATAGAAACAAACTTCCACCACAAGCCCTCCACTACCACCACGATAGTCATAATATATAGACACACTCATAAAACTTTCTAATTTCATTGAAATATTAAATATAAATTAAGCACATTGTTGAGTATTGAAACTTTAATAATAAAACAACACGAATTAACCATACACTTCATATTAAAATGCCTTTCTAAATATTTGATAACAGTAGTACGCAGAGACAAAATTCCCATCATCACTGACTTTTACTTGCGGGAAATATCTGCTGGAAGAGCAACAACCACATTCCGGGAATAAATTGCGTCTTCCGCTTCTTATTCGAGAGATATTACATCCTGAAACGTGAAAAAAGGGCTCGATCTCAACCCCATTACAAGGAAGAGAAACCCCATACCACAAGCTTACTGAAATCCGTACCCTGCATTTTATGAGCGTTTCTTTCACAACCAGAGGGAAATTAAGCTATGTTGGTCTTCTGGGTAGTACAGTCGTGGACAGTACATGTGGACGTGTTCTGTGATACCAACGTTTCTGAGGAACATATTGCCTCCATCTTCATTTCTGAACACGGAGGGAATATGCTCCAGAAACAATGTTAGTATTTGTCCACCCTTCGTTAACAGGGCTGAAGATGGAGGTAGTATGTTCCTAAAAACCGTCGGGTCTCCACCTAAGTTGACATCTTCACCGCCGCGGGAAACTGAAATTAAAATTCGATTTTCAGAAGTGCTTACTGCCTCCGTCACCAGAATCTGCATTATATAGGCAATAAGCACCTCTGAAACGTCGGTCAATTTCTACAAGACCACAAGACGTAATAACCCGCACAAATAATAATAACCAGCTACTAAGAACTAGGATATGACGTCAGACATGACGTTAGCACATTTGTTATGCTAGCCTCTCGTAATCTGTGTCAGTGGTAGATTATGTCTTATTATTTGGCTTGTGACCACAAAGGTGAATAATTCCGCAAAGTAGGTATGTTTGACCTCAATGGGATCGTTGAATACGTAATTTATATACCACCATGGGTGTAAAAATACATTCCATATGTTGATGTAATTGTTCGGAGAATAATACCTGTAAAATGCAATTTTGTGCAGTGTATACATTATTGCTCCCAATCATGTAAACTCGTTTTTCGAAACTGACTTTGCAATGGGGTAGTGTTAGGAAGAGTACGTGTTTACGTTGTCACCAGCTGATGTAACCATTAACAGAATACGATTTTATAAAAATAATGAATCATGATCAGTTTTAATCATTATTTTACTTGGCTGTGGATGGAAAGGGTATAATCACTCAACTGTTTGGATGAACAGTTTAAAACTTAACGTTTGTTAACATAAAACATGCTGTTAGGAAGTTTTCAGTAGTCTCATAAAATGAAACTGAGTCATTATTATTTCAGGAATCTGTGTGTGATCACAATAAAGATGGAAAAAAGCAAAGATTACAAACACCTTCAATTTCCCAAGAATGACACATCACCATTCTTACAACAGACTGTAGAGTTACAGTTTGCTGTTCCATGGGGTCATATTGCAGGTATTATTAATAACTAATGATTATCATCTATAGAGATATTAATGCATGAACCCCTTCTCCACCAAGGTTTCTCTTACAAATGTGCTGAAATACTGAAGTCTACGACAATCTTAAGACTAAATAAATCTTAGGTATCTACAAGCTCAGAAATTTCCATACATATAAATCATTATCTTCCTCAGTGTAGTATGTTTATTTTAACTTCACAGTGCAATGCTTCAGAAAATACAATTTCCATAACCAAACATTCTTTTTACTGTAAAGCATCAAAAATTGTCTAAAATCTATGTTTCCACTTAAAACTGGATACATATCTACCTTACCATGTTGTTAAGAATAAGAAAACCATGCCCTTTTATATTATTCCCCATTTACTGCCAGTTTTATGATAGTGCCCATTGATACAATCTATAAAGTTATTTTATACAAATGAAAGAATAGCCCTGTAACAGCCATTGTAAAGCAGATATGACCAAATGCTGGCCGTATTCACTTTTGCAATGGTTGGTCATATTTGTTATGACTACAGAACCTTGTTCTTGCTGATAAAATATGTAAAATGACGTTTGATTATTTGAGGAAGTTTCGATGTTTTATGGTCAAAAGCATTGTTTGCAGATGGAAATTACTTATGACGTTTTCAATTTTACTGTTGCGCATGGAAAAATAATAATTATTGTAACAATATAACATTTATTTTCATTTTCACTAAACTTTATGATTCTGGCTGATCTCTGGACTCATCTTCATACACATAACCGCCAAAGTCGGTCAAACTACAGACAGAAATTATTAAATTTGGAATTAGAATCAGTTCAGGCCAAGAAAATGAACACTTCCAAACATTTTATAATCCTTTCAGCGAAAGCATGGGGAGATCCACACGGTGAGCCCATCCTGGCTGTCCATGGCATAGATGACAGTGCATCAACATTTGACACACTGATACCCCTACTGCTACAGTTAGTTGGGCGCCCACTGTATGTTGTATGCGTGGACTTGCCTGGTCATGGACATTCATCGCCATTGGCACCAGGCATCCCATATCGCGTCACAGATATGTTTGGCTCTTTGCATCGTGTGATTTTGCAGTTGGAATGGCATCGATTCCATTATCTGGGACATAGCTTGGGAGGTCTCTTGGGATATTATTTTGTTGCTTCATATCCAGACTTTGTTGAGAAGTTAATTGTTTTTGATGCAGTATCATTCAGGATGTACCCACCACAGTATCAACCAAATGCGTTAAGAGCATGTGGAGAAAACCTTCTTCGATTTGAGAAGAAAATTAAGGCAGGAACTGCCCCTCCATCATACACCCTAGACGAGGCTTTGCATAAACTGGCTGACAGCAGAGGAACCAAAATGACAGACACTGGGATCAGAGCATTGGCATCAAGAAACTTAAGACGTGTAGAAGGCCATGAAAAATTGTTCAGTTTCTCAAGAGACCATAGGATTAAATTCACATACACCCCACTTTTTTACCACGATGAAACTGCTCAGATTATGAGCCAAGTAAAGTGTCAGTTGTTATTGGTGATTGGAAATGAATCTCAGAGGATAACAGAGAATTCAGTTAAAGGTGCTATGTTGAGTGCCGCAGCAAAAAGTTGTTCATACTTCAAGTGTCATATTGTTGATGGTGATCATGATGTACATCTGAACTTCCCAGAGAGAGTTGCCCCACTAGTGGCTAAATTTCTTTGTGAGCCAATGAGCTCTCTCTGAAATCCTTCTAGTTACTATAATAATAATAATAATTAAAATAAAAAAGTATTGGTATGAACACATCCCGAAGGCAGTTGAGACAAGTCAGGATAACCAAATAACTATTCTGTGGAACCAACAAGTCAAAACAGATAGAACTATTCCAAATGACAAACCAGATTTTATAATCCGAAACAAAAATGGGACTTGTCCCTTAACTGATATAGCAATACCAACTGACTGAAATATAAATAAGAAGGAAGCAGAGAAGATTGTGAAATACAAGGACCTTCTCATTGAAATACAGCAAATGTGGAAAGTGAAAGCAAAAGTAATCCCAATAATTATAGGAGCAACTGAAAATATTTGGCCAACATCCCGGGCGAACACATCGTCAGGGAACTTCAGAAAACCGCCATTTTAGGATCTTCATACATCATTCGAAAGACGCTGTCGTAAAATATATAGTCATCCCTCACAATAAAACTTTATAATACATGTAACACATATTAAAAACAAAAAGTATTTCAGAAATAACTTCCGCAATATATACCTCAGGGGCAAGGTTTGTCTCAGATACATAGAAGTAAAAGCCCTACAAAGTGGTGAATGGATGGAATAATAATAATAATAACTATTTATAAATCTTTGTTTAAAACATAACATTTAGTAGTAGTAGTAGTAGAGATATTCAGTATTAACAAGTATTATTTGCTTTCACTTCTGGTTTATAGAAGAACTATAACCACATTACAACCTAGTGTGGAAAATGGGCATGAAAATTTTATAGGTGTACATTACAAACTAATGGATGCCACTGCTGCAAATAAAAACCTGCAAGATCAAGTTGGATGAAAGACAGTATATATAAACTGTAAAAACCCCCGCTCTTTTTTCTTTGTAATAGTGAAACAAGTGTGTATGAGATTCACATTTGTTTCCTCAGGAAAGACTTGGGGTGATCCATGTGGACAGCTGGTACTGTGTGTGCATGGTATCCAGGACAATGCTGGCTCGTTTGACCGTCTTGTTCCTCTTCTTCCATCTGCATTCTGCTATGTGTGTATTGATTTACCTGGTCATGGTTGTTCATCACACTTTCCAGAAGGGCTTCCTCTGGACTTTATGGATTATGTGTTGGCCCTTATCCGTGTTTTGAATCACCTTCGGCAGGACAGTTGTTACTATATAGGACACAGTCTTGGAGGCCAGCTTGGTCTGTACCTGTGTGGTCTATGGCCACAGCGAATCAAGAAACTGGTTTTGTTGGATACCATTGGTCCCATGCACACAGAAACTGAGATCTTTCTCCCACTAAATAAGTTTTTGTTGGACAACGTTCTGAGTACTGAAGAACGATTCTCAAGTAAAGAGAGTCCTAATTATACTTACAAAGAGGCTTTAGACAGGTTGATGACCAATAGGGCAAGCAAATTAACAGAAGAGGCAGCCAGAGCATTGATAAAACGTTCCTTGACAAGGAACAGTGCTGGAGGATCAAGATTCACGACAGACCAACGCCTGAAGATGGGTCTGTGGGTACAGCTGAATGAAAAGCAACAGCTGCAGGTATGTACTTGTGTTACAAATCTGATTTTAAATTATATAAAAGAAACAACACTTGAAGGCCTAACTATTTTCAGTGGAGGACTTCTGTGTGTCCATTTTTCTGTGCTGAACCACTCAATCATTTTAGAATCCCATGAATATAAATCATGGTTAATTTGTATACTGCACCCATGTAATACATGACAAGTTTATTGCTGCCCTTATAATAAAAGAATATGTTTCATAAACATACAAAGACATTTATAAAAATAAAATAAAAACTATCAGTATATGGAACCCCTTCACCATAAAGATACTGTATTTCCGGAGTATAAGACACTTTTATCCATGAAAAATGCTACCTAAAATCTTTATATGTCGTACACTTGGAAGACATAAATGGTTTCTTTCCCCTCTAAAATCTGAATGCATCTTATAATCTGGAAAATGCAGGATGTGTTATAAATATCATAAAGATAAGAGGTAAATATTTTATACAACCAAGTTCTTTTTTAGCCATGTTCACAACCTTTCAGAGCATCTATTATTTTGTGGCATGTTTGAGAAGAAGTGAGTGGAAATTATCAAACTTTTTAAATTTCCAGGTATTTAATGATATAAAATGTCCCATTCTGGCACTTTTATCAGCTGTTCCAAGATCAACAGCCTTCAAAGCTATGAAGAAAACTTTTAATTTTTTCCTTAATAAACAGAATTGTCAGTGCATTGGTATGGAGGGGAATCATGATGTGCACATGAATAATCCAGAAAGAGTTTCTCCATACATTGTCACATTTTTAACTACACAGAAGTGTGCTATGTAATTAACATATGCCGTCCATCACATCACACATCAGGAGTGATGATTAATGAATATGTGAATGGGTGGGATCAGTGGCATGGGGAAAATTGCCATTCACAACAAATTCTACATCTGATTTCATTCAGGCCTCCACAGTGAGAAACTGGTATATTTAGCTGCCTCAGACATGGCCCAGAACATTGGGAACATTCATGAAGTTTGTTTTCTACGCAGACTTCCTTCCACCTTCTTACTGGTTAAATGCGGTTATATGTTTTGAAAACTTCATAAATATGATATTTGAGGCTTCGTGGCAGTGAAAAGAAGACTACAATTCTTTATTTTATGTGATTTAGAAGTAAAGAATGCCTTGATTATTCTTTAAACGTGTCTTTACTGTATTACAACTGGCAGTGGAGTAAATGTAAGACTTAATATTATATTGTACTATATTAACATTAAATTTAACATTGTAGATAGGTTCAATTATAATAAATTCCTGGAAACATTGTACAATCAAGCTTTTGTATCTCAATAAATATGGAAATGCTTATGTTCATAAACATAATTTATTACTTAGTATATGTAGACGATTTTATAAAACCTTAGCTTCTTCTGAAGGGCCAAATACTATGGTAAACTAATTTTTATTTTAGGATTGTATCTCTGTGACCTGACCTATAGCATTTAAGGATAACATTTCATGACTGTGTTATTGAAATGTAAAAATTACTTCGATAAAATTAAGCATTCCTAGTAATGGGTACGCAGGTCAAATTTTCCTGCAAAAGGACTCATGATCTGCAATCTCTAGTGTTACAAGATAAAGTTAAGGCACCATAATGACGTGTGTGTAATATAATATCAAATCAAAATAGTCACATACTTGAAGTATGTAAAGGAAGTAAAGTTACTTATCTGCACAAATATGACTTATAGTGTGTTTACAATAATCTTACAATGCCTATACACTTGCAAGATGCTCCAAAGTCCTCTTATGTTTCAATGCCACACACGGACACGAACAGTTATTCTGTTTGTAGACAATGTTCAGTATGAACTCCATTCTTCCTTTTAATGGCCCCCATGTGAGATGACTTCCTGGCATGAATCTTCTAAAATGCAGCACATTTGCAAGACCTAGGTTCCAATAACAATCCCTGTGTACGTGTACAGTTCACCATAACAGTACCATTCAGTAGCAAGAATATTACCTGGAAGCCCACTCATAAAGCAAAATATGGCAATAAAATGAATAAGTAATTATAAAGGATGCAGAGCTTAGAACCTATTTGATGTACTATTTTATTTGCCTGGAGAGACTTGTTGAAAATCACAAAAATCCCTTTCAGGGTCACTTACCTGTGTTTATGATAATGTGATAACTGCATGTAACTCACCTTGTTTTCTCACCAATCTTGTATAAGAACTTCAAATTGCTTTTGCTTCGTTCAAATTCACCACTCCACTTGACATTTTCAATTTACATGATGTGATTCTCTTAGTCACAGGTTCTAACAAGCAGAGATCACCATCAGAGCACATAACCACAGAAGGCAAGGACAAAATGAAACACAGGTTACAAACTGACTCTACCACACATGAACAAGAGAAACAACAGAACGCCATTAAGAGACATTAGTAGCACTATATGCATATTAAATTTCCCCCATATAATCATTAAGTGTTCTCGATTTCTTCCGGCAGTTTATGCAAATCACAAGCATTGTTGTAAAACTCACATATAATTTTTCGCAATACATAAATCATTTAGGTTATTGCATCGCACACAGTCAAAGTAGAACACAATGCTACTCACAAGACCATTTAAAATCATATTGCCTTTCTGCATGCTATGAACAGGTCATTACAGATAACTTAACCAAGTTGTAACTTATTTTGAATCGAAATTTGTGGCGTTGTAATCATGGTTTGTCACTGCTTCTGTGAAGTAAAATTCACTCATTCTTCCTAATGTGTGCAACATTTGTTTGGACTTTGTGTCTTCTACTTCATCAACTTTGGACTATCGGTTTAATGATACCAACAGCAGTTTATAAACCCAGCACTAAACGGATATTCGTAGCGCATTCTTTATGTGTGGGAAGTCTGATTCTGAAAGGAATGTAGTGATTTGTAACTGTAGGCACAGATCACCTAGGAAATAATTTCAATGTTTATGATTCAAACACAATTAGGTATGCAGCAAATATTTTGATACAGACGAAATGTAGGACTATTTTCTGTTGATCAGTTAACCACGTTGAAGCAATAAAGGCGGTTAATGTTTGAAAAATGTTCTCAACGTTTGTTAAGAAAAGGTGATCATCGACACAGATGTGCTAAATGCTTCTGGAGGAAATTCTTTTCGCGGAAGTTATCAGAATACAGTTACTGCAACACGAAACGTAATATCGTGCCTATTTGAAACAATTTAGTTTCATAAGTAACGAAATGGAAGAAGTGTGGAAAACAGGTGTGGTAATGGGAGGTGAAAGAAGGCAGGACGAATTTAAGGACCTTGTCAAAACGCTCGAAGTTTTAAATTTACAGAACCAAGACAATGATGCTGAAATTGAGTTTTTGGTTAGCGGGTATGATAGGGAGCAAGATATTCAAGAGCTGAAAGAGAATGAATTTAAAGGTTATGTCACGTTTACAAAATTCTTTGAGATTAGTTTAAGTATAGTAATCATGTATATGTACTTGAACCTTTTTAGCACACACCCGTCAAACTTGTCACAGAACTCTGTTTAATACATATAATATCAACCTACAGATTCTTGTGACGAAGATTTCCAAGAATTATGTATTAAACTTTGTCATTGCATTGTTAGCATATTTCAAGACAATCCCTCACTTCTTTTTTTTAAATTTATCATCTCTCCAACCCCCCTCACCCATATTCCTTTCTAATCCCTTGCATAAATCAGTATCCTCAAACCTTGTCACCCTTCCTTGCTACTGTATCCCTCACTTTGGTTCGCAAGTCTCTACACCATGTCTATTTGTAATTTTAAAATTTTCATCATAAGTACCTGCTGAATTTCAATAACATTACACAGAATTTATTCCACTTAAAATATTCTACTTGATGCCATTAAAATGAAGAACATAACTGGAAATTACTATTTGGGTTCTTGTACAGAACATTTTGCCATTTAGCACCAGTAATGTGAACTTTTTATATTCACTGCGATATGTACTGCATAATTTATCAGAAAGGTTTCTTTAAGGTCCATGCCCAAATGTCTGCTTATCACATTTCAGAGCTTGAAAGCAATGTAACTGAAATAAAGAAACGCCTCAGTAAACTGCAGATGAAGAAATTTGAAAATGAGGAACACGATTCACGAAGAAAAGAAGAATGTGCAAGGTTAAAGGAGAATGAAGTAAGCATTAATTTGTTAGTTTTGTTACAATATCTGATTTGATACCAGGGATTGTGAAACTAGAGCTACCACATTTCTTAACTTTATCAGATTAGCCTATTTGTCATGGAAAAATGCCATCAGGACTTTTTCTTCTGGTCTAAGTTTATTTACCTGTTTGACCATGGACTGGATGGTCAGGGCTTAATCCCCTGCAAGTACAAAGGATCTTTCTACTAGCCTGTGTGCAGCCCACAGAGCCTTCTATACAGAGGGTCTTTTCCTGCTGGTAAACTGCAGATAGGAATTGACTATTAAATTTCCCCCTCCCAAGTACCTCCATGGTGTGTTGAGAGACGGGTGTCAATAAATATCCAGTTTTAAATTTGGCTGTTTGCATTCCTTGTGTGCTTCAGGCTTAATTTTGGCTTTCAGTATACAAAATTTGACCTTAATGTGAGTCATATCAAAATGGTTGCACCGATGATAATGGAGCTCTGTCCAGGACCAATAATATAATCATTGTATTCTACGTTACAGGAAACCCTAAGGAAAGAACTTCATGACACCTGTGCAGCTGTACAGAGTTTAAAGGAAGATGTAGATCATTTGTATGAGGGAACAACACCCAGCAAAGAAGACGCAGCTATACTCGAGAGGAATCGGTGTGTTGTTTGGGTCCACTATTCTTTAATCTAACCTCTCTATTATAATATTTTCATTTTTAAAACACATGATCATTGTATCTGAATAACGATTGGTTCAAAACGAACACGTCACAAAAGGTGGAAGCACCTGCTTTAGTTATGGTTTGTGAGAAGAAGGTTGGCAGTAATACACGAGTGATATCTACGTAACGTTTCACTTGAACAAATACATACACATAATCTTTTTTAAAATAACGTACCCCTCAGTTATTATCACCGTTATCAGTGGTACTGAGCTTATGCTGTCACGTCCATTGAGAAGACAAAGACATTTGACAACCTTCCTTTCCTTTTGTGGGTCATTTGCATATGCCCTTGAGTTACAACGGACCTGTAGAAAAGTGTGAGGTACATGTTATAAATATGAAACCATTTTCATATACAAATTTCCACCAATCTTGTGGCGGATGGATTCTTCACACTGTTGACATCAATGCGAAAAACTCCATACACGTTTGTGAATGGGCAACACATTTTTAGTCAAATGTGAGTTCCTAGTGTTATGAAGCCTGTAAGAATTGTCTCCATCATCACAGCTGTCACTGACAGTACACAGCATGATCTCCACTTAAGGTTTCTTTGTTGAGAAATTACTTTGAACACTAAACTGAGGAAAACCTTAATCTTAAATGTTTGAAATGTAACACTGAGATTACTCGCTTGGAAATACTGAAACTGGGTGTTGAATGAGGCAAAACCTTAAACTGAGGAGCATTAAATGGGATTCACATTTATACCATTTAGCAAAAAAATCACACTGATGGCATAATAATTTGATTTCTGTTTTTTCAGTGATTTGCTGAGGCTTTACAAAAATCTTACAGGACTGAAGTGGGACTACACTGCACCACCATCTGACTATACTGGCAGTATCCTTGAATGGCAAATGTGTACACTGATATTACTGGTATTAATACTTGGAGGCCTTGCAATGCAATTATATAACAGTAGATTACAAAAGAAACGGATATTAACCATTGATAGTGGAAAATTTTGTCAGAAAGATAAGAATTATTATGCATCCTTAACTTTAATCTCAGGTGTTTTTAATTTTGTCAACAATTACTGCAACTACTTTCACTACCCAGCAGGAGAGGCTAGTGTTCAACTTGTGTGGGATGAAATTCAGAGAGCTGCTCACGCAGTGTGGTCGGATATTAACGGGCAGGAACCACTACCCTAGCCCCCGGGTATTACCGGGTACTTCACGGTCTGCCTGTGTTTATATTTAACATCTGCTTTACACATTTGACCTCCTCACATGTTATCCTTAGATACTGTAACAGGTTTTGCTACATGAAATATAATTTATATTTTTCAGTAATTACACAATGTTGGTTCTTTTACTATAATTCCTAGTACCAAATGTCTTTTCATCGTCTGCATTAAAATATATTTCGGAGAAAGCGAGAAGTACGTAAGTCATCATCTTGCCATCAAACATGTTTTGTTAAACGTGGTCCTGTTATGAAACTGATCTGTGGCCTTTGCTGTGTTACAGAATGAGTTTTGACAACGGAGGATAACAGATTGAAGACAAGCTCAAAGACTTGTAAATATATTTATCTGTAAATATGGGCAGTCATATAGTCTTAACTACTGTCTTCATCTCCATGCAGGGGTTCCACCTGAATGAGTCCGTAATGAAACCTGAGTAAGAACTTGACAATTTGCCCATCACATACAGACACAGACGGCTGAAGCAAAATGGCTGCCTGGTTCACATGAGAATCTGGATTAGTTGTACAAACGGCAGGAGTGTCCTCGTGAAAACAGATGCTGTACCAATACGCCACGGCATTCATCATTCCTGAATGTGTCGCCGCTGTACTCGTTATTTGCGTGGTCTGGTAACAGCATCTTTCCAGGCTGAGATGCAGCAATTCAATAGGCTTGCTCAGAATAGTTGTGGTGAGGGTGGACAAGTTGAGGTCTAGATGTTGTGTTACCTGCAAGGGAAGGGGAAATACACAGACATCAGCATAACTTTTTGGCGACAAGGGAAATGTAATTTGTTTTATACCTGCCATATTCATTGTAATGTAAACTATAGTTTTATTACTACAGTACTAGAAAACATAACATTGAAATCAACAGAATATTAATGAAAAGATCACTGCTTGTTTTTTTACATGCAACGTTCCCAAATGTTTCCTAGGGTCAAATCCTGGGCAGTTTTTATGGTTTCCCTGGAATCCTCAAAGTAAGCAAAAGCATCCTATAATTCTAGAAGGAAAGATGTAAGGGGATTCATCTCTTAGAACTCCTTGTACTTTAATGCCAGTCATCAAAAAGCAGTAAACCCCACTTTCCAGAACAAATTCAAATGGAAATTGTATCATGATAATCTAATTAGAGAAGGCAGCTAACAACAATCACCTGGTATTCGTTGATAAAACGAGCTATGTCATAACCACAAGTGCGCAAGTTTTGAACGCGCGACACCTGAACCAGCCAATCCGACTCCAACAGTTGACCAATCACAGAGATATGCTGTGGTAAGATAATACCACCTTCTGCCAGAGATGAGCTGGAACATTGCAGTTGTATGATAACACGTTAATACAGAACTGTCACAATTTTTCTACGTTCTATCCCGACATCATCCACACACCACCAAATATTATATGCACATAGGACAGCACAGTTAAGAAATAAAATAAATTATCAATTAAGTCCATTTGATATTCTGTCTGCTGAGAATGTTTGGGATACAAGACCATGCAGAAACACTGCTCACTGGAATCAAATGGGGACAGACCTCAAATATATTTCATCCTGTTGGGAGTTTTTTTTTACCATTTTCAAAGAACATTTGGGCCTGGTTGTTGAGAGATGAAAGATATGTCAGTCTTCAAGTTATTTAAATTATACTTTACAGCAGCCTGAGGATGGTCATATGATTTGAAACATGTCACCCCATTTAACAATCATGATTTAAGATAACATTATAACTGCATATTTAATAATAATAAACCTGCTTTGTTTATGATGGAAACATTACATAGTGTATGTCCCTGAATAACTCAACGATGGAATTCTGGGATATAAAATTGAAAAATCCCAATGTCACTACCAGGACATGAGTCTCAGTCATCCAGTCATGTCACTGATTGGGGTGTTACAGCTTCTAAACATTGCATTAGCAAAACATTAATACAGGAGAGCTGGATGCATTCATACCTGAGTGCTGGTATCATGTTGAAAGCTGTCTCCTTCAGTTCCCCAGAGGGGTCGACCAAGTGTGCCACAATTACATCGAAGAAAACTTTGCCACTGTCCAGTACGTCCAGGAGCTGTTTCTCCGTTACACACTGTAACTGCGTCATACTGATACCACTCAACTCTGCAACCTTCTTTATAGCTAGCTCATCTTCCAACGAACTCACGACACACATCAGACTTGCTGCACAGCTCGTAAGGACATGCAAACCAAGTACAGGAAATGGAGAGAGATCTAATACTGCTGAGATACGTATATTACTGCGCTGCAAAAGAGAAATGTGCCTGTTTTGAAAACATAAAGGGCAGCAGGGTCCACTGGCATTTTGTACATTGAAATACAATGTTTTTCAAATTTAACAAATAGGTTCATTTCATAGGAAATATGTAAATAGCGTAATGCAAGTCTAATAATCACATACCACTGTGACGTGCAAGTTTTATTAGTTTGTGTGTTAGTCAAACTGATTTACTACTGCAGCTACGAGCACACAGTACGTCTATTTATATTATAGTGGCATACAGAGTGTCCAGTGACTTCATGTCAGTACTTCAGGATCTCACTCGTCGTCATTAAGAAATGTCATTGCATCTGATTCTCCATGGTTACAGAGCTAGATAGACTAGGTAGTAGCTATTAGTAGCGCAGCTCAAAACTGTATAAATATAGCGCTAACATGCTTTTACATTAAAGAGGAGTGTGAAGACTGTCGTCACTAGCAGAACCCCATGACCATATGGAAAAATACACCAAAAAATAAGAGGAAAGCAAAAGAAACCTTGCTGTGTGAACTGATACTTTTAAATAGGCAAAGCCTTTACCTGTTGGCACAGGAGTACAGCAGTCTTCTGCAATGATTCCTGCCACTGTTTATTGTTGAGAAACCGTACAACTTCTTCAGATGCTACACCACTGCAGCCCAATCTCCTCGTTATACCACAACAAACATCAGGATCTGGTATTTTGTGCAGAATTTTCTTTGAGTGCTCGACACTTCTCAAAACATTGGAATTGTCCGATGCATTAAACTCAGCCTCTTTCAATATCATTTCATACTTTCTGTGCATATCTTTTAATACTATAACTTTTTCTTCTTCATGAGCAGTGCAGTCAATATGTGAAGTTCCCTTTTTCCAGTTTGCTGCAATATTTAAGGACAAGTTTCCGGAGTACTCGGGATCAGAATCCGCAGTGTTACTGTCATTTTCTGAACTCTTCTGATCATCATTATGAAATTCTCTTGAAGGATGAGAATCGTCTTGCACTACAAATATTTTACCGCAAGAAAATGCATCCTGTAACTTGCTCATTGCTTGTGCGACTTCATTTTTATGTTGATCGTGGACATCAACAGAAACTTTTCCACCACGGCATGTAATACTTATGTTCAATTTCTGACCCGAAGTAACATGGATAGGAGACCGAACAGGGAATATGGCTTGGTCCCAGCAATTTGCTCTATGAACTCCATCTCTATCACTGCCATCATCAGGAGCAGAAGAGATGGTGGTAACATCATCAAGATGTAGATCAAACCACATCGCTACTGCATCAACGCGGCCGGGCTGGGTGCACGTGATGCAGTGTTCTACGTGCTTCTGTCCACGCAACCACTCGACCATCTCCTGGCAGTCACTGAACTTGAAGTGCACAGCATGGCATGGTGATGCAAGAAAACTGCACAGAAATCAAGTAAACCTGATGACTGGCTTATGTTTTTGGCTGCCCTATGAGAAGTTTCTAGATTCATGAGCCACTGTTATTCTCATATTTAGAGAACAGCTGATAACTTCAAATCAATTTATCCCTGAAGAGTATGGGAACACATTAAAGTATTTTTTTGACATTTACTTGGGAAAGATTTTTTAGTGAATGGACAAACAGTCACATCAATATCATAAGTTATTAACACCTTGATTTTAACAAACTGCATTTTCTGTCACTTTAGTTTTGAAAACATTCTGAAAGTAAAACTCTGAATACCTAATGGCAGTAACCTAACCTAAGCAGATAACAAGCAGTGACTATAAATCAATATAGCATCCTTCATACATGTGATAATGACGGAATAATAAAACGTGGACATTACCTGTAGCCATCAGGAACTGTATTTAAGTCTTCAGTGTCATATGGCTCATCACGCCTAGCTGTTAGCTCCAGCTTGCTTAGATCAAGCTCTGTTCTGTTACTGTGTACTTTCTGGACTTCAGGATCTCTTGAAAATGTGTCCGTCTGTACCTGAAATCAAATTATCGCATGTAATCTCATAGCACAGCTAAATGTTTACTAAAACTACATACTCAACATACAAAATATAATATATTTTATCACAAACTTTCATTCTGGTACATTTTCACTTTACAAAAAACCAAAATTTTAAGTTTGCTAAGTTGTATAAGCATTTCAAACTCTAAATCTTTCAAATAAAAACAAACAAACAAAGATACTACATTACCTGTAAGTGGTTAAAGAAATCCTCCTGTGTTGTTTCTGGCTTCAGGAGCCAATTTTTCCTTGCAATGTGGAGGCATTCTATAGGCACTATCCACACACCGGCTGCTTCGGGTACCACCCTCCCTGCATTTGCTTCTTGGTCTCCACATCCTGCAGGTAACAGCAGAAGGTCCCAAGCATGGATAAGAGACTGCAATATACCTTCACCTAATAAACCTGAATCCACCGTTTCTGTCACCACAAGTGATACTCTGGAAAAATAAAATGCACGCCTTTAAGGGGAAAGGTTTTCGAACGCTTCTAGAAATATTTCACAGTCATGTGGTGTAATGTTATAAAATTCAGTGTGCACAGGTAAGAATGGTATCCTCAAATACATTTAAATTACACACGCACGCGCGCACAAGAAACATATTCCACCAAAAAAATAAATTATGAAGACAGAAGTAAAATTATTAGATATGTCCAATGGTTAGCTTAGCAGAATCAACTGAGAAAGTAAGTGTTAAACAGCTTTAGCTGAAACCCACTGCCCCTTCCCTAAAGAAAACTTGGTATGCACTCCCAGATATAATTAGAAAAGAAAAAGCACCTTGCAGGCATGTCTGTTGGAATGATTATATCCGTGGAAAGTTTGTTGATCAGGTTCACTTTTCCAGAAGCTCCATTGGCACGCATCACATCAGAAGCAATCTGAATCATTGTGGAGGAACAATCACAAGCAAACACTTGTCCAGCTCCAGCTTCAGCAGCAAATAAACTGCAGTCACGTTAACAAACAAAATCACAAAGAACATGTTTAAGAAATTAACTGTATTCCAATTCAGTATACACCTTACCACCTTGTTGAAGAGTGAACTTGAAATCAATGACTGACCTAAGCACGCCTGTGCCTGTCCCAATGTCCAACACAGATGAACCAGGCCCCTGCTGGAGAACCCTTCTGGTGATCGCCGCCCGGTACGCGTCATTCCGAACGCTATCATTTAGCATACGAAAGTGCCATCGTTCCACCAACAGATTGTACGACCCCTGCAAGTTACGTCTTGCGGGGAGGAACCCAGGATTGCATTTTATAGCTTGTTGAAAATAACTACATGCTTCTGTCACATGTCCCCACCTGTAAACCATTTAAACAAAACCATATTGCCCATAGTGCAGCACTGTGGCACTGCCAACACTACAGACAGGAAGAGGACGATAAGTATGGCATCTTGTATGTTTAAATAATTTTTACCAGCACTATGCCTAGAGACAAACTGACTGTGTGGCAACGTCCCTGTCTTTAAACAGCGAAGACTTTTCTACGTGATCTTGATCACAGCCATCAGTGACAATGGTACCAACATAAATAATGACTAGCAAGTGATAATTTTGTAGTAGTAGCATTGATATTCTTCTGCATCTCTACGAAGAGCTATTTTATGTGACTGCTAGTAGCCTCTTTCACCTGCAATCCTATGTAACAGTGCAACTTTTTGTCACATATATTGCGTAGAATGATAAAATGCAGCAACATTTATCACAGTTAAAGTATATGTATAGTTACCAACAGTCAGCCAAATAGTTGTCAACAACCACACTCTGGGCGACATGATCTCATAAATTGTATTCAATCTATTATTAATGCATGAAGGGAAAAATGTGAATCACCATTACATAAGGCATCTATGTGCTATTGATACCAGAGTATATACCAAAATGCACGCAACAGCGTAAGAGATTCAGAATTTAATATTTTTGTCATAGAGATAACTTCTGGGACACATCACAGAACTTTTGTTACAGCTGCAAATGCCCACATAATGAGGTCACATGCATTAAAACCACGAAACAGCATGGAAAGCTCGTCTGTAACAATAATGGAGCAAACACTTGTACATAATTTGACAATTTTTCACAAAACATTTGATGGTGAGAAGTACTGTTTTATTTGTTTGTTTATTCAAATTATTTATGGTACTATAGCAACTACAGAGGTTATGTTAATGAAATGGGATATAGCACTGAAAAATGATGAATCAGGAAAAGAGCTGGAACGAGCAGTCATTTTCAGTTTTAAGGTGTTACCATGACATAGAAAGACTGAGGAAATCCAAGAGAAATCTGTCCCTAACCAGGATCTGAGTACAGTACCACCCAAATTCATATTAAATGTTTATTTTTGCAAAAAAGGAAACAAAGGGACAACATAAAAATATATGAATGCATACATATTATTATACAGTTTAACGTGTTAATTTTACGACACTTTACTGCATTTCTCTTGCTCAGTAAAATGTAATTTTCATTTTGTATGAAGTGAAGACAAGATGATAATAACTATAAAACCACTGATGGCAACACAACAAATTCCTTCGTTAATCTGATATTCTTGAAGTGTCCAGTCTGTGACTTTGTAATGTCCATCAAATCCTTAAACCACTGTCGAACCTTGTGTTCAAGGTGTGGGAGAGCATCACTTGGTATGCTAAATGAATACAAATTATCGCACTTGTTCTGATTTTGATATCCACCACATATTTCTACATTAATTTTGAAAACAGTGAGAGGTACAAAGGAGAGGCAGGTTTCACCATCATTCCCCATTGACATTGGTTTAAACCAATATACAATAGGATAACCAAGAAAGACACCTAATAATGTAGGGACACACCAATTTTGATCAATCTTAAGAATGAAATGTCTTTTGTTTTCACCCTTCAAGTGTTGCGCTAGATCAACGAACGTTTCACTGACGCCTGTTTCCGTAACTGAAGTACCAAGCTCCTTCAGACATTCCACATTTAACCTTTGGCCTCTGTCGTCTTTATCAGCAAGACATAAATCGTCTATCCCTATCTTTGAAACATCAGTAAAATTGACATTCTTTTTGTGTTTCCTCTTGCAACTTGAGTTGCTACATGGTCCTGAAACCAGGTTATACTTCACGGCTACTGAATTACTTTCATCAGCTGACTCATTTGGTTTGTTGCTATCAGTTTCTATGCCAAGAAATTCTGCAATGAGTTTACTCACGTCTTCTAACATACAATGTATATTACCTGCCACATCTGTATACTCTTGCACTATACATGGGGCATCCAACTGTGGGCTAACATTAACGAAACAGTCGTTCGAGTTTGAAGAACAACTATCATAAACACGTCTCAGGTTTGTTACAATAAGTTCATCCCCAATACATACAAGATATATACCAGAATGCAAGAGCTTGTTATTTTTCAAGTCAGTCACCAGATTTAATAACTGTGGGTGTTCCATTGTCACCGTTTTAACATCCCACAGAAAACCTGGTTTCAGCCCACTGTTTACAGCTTCCAAATTTATGATCAAGTTAAACATCGCGCATGGCCGTATTCTACATTTTCTCTGTGTATGAAAGTGACACTTGAGTATGTTTTCCCATGCTATAAAATTAAACTCAGTCATGGTACACTAAGCAAATAGTGAAACTACACAGCAAAGAGTTTTCAAACTAACTGTCTAAGGTCACGTATTAACCTAACCTAACCTAACTACCTGAAAGAGGTTAAGAATGGTGCTGCATCCTGCCTAGCAATCAGCTGATCTACCCTAACCTGTAGAGATGAGCTCCAAGATTGTTCAGCAGTTCCTCACTGTCTGGTAAGACTTCCAAAGCTTGCTCATAGCAACTGAAGAGATCTTTATACCGCTGCTGCCCCTCTAATTTTTCTCCCCACGAACCTAATTAAAAGAGAAAGCAAGAAATTAAATTAAATTCTATTGTCAGAATTCATCATGTTTCCTATAACATTACATTTCCATGATCCAGAATTTTTAACACAACCTTGTGTCCCCCCACTCAATGCGTAATTTATATATATATATATATATATACACACACACACACATGTTGCTATATTTACATGGCCACACTTTCATTTCCCTCTTCCTCACATCTGCACAGCTGCTTCCATTGATTTCCAAAACCACACAGCAATATTGACTTCAATCACATTTGCAAACTATTTGTAACATTTACTGGTTACCATGCGACAGAGGCTGAAGGACATGATCTTCATTAGGATGGCAACAGAATCATCATACATGACCATTAACACTTTCTTTTTAAGAATGGGTGGTTCTGGACAGCCTGCCACATGACTGTACAGTTTCCTAGGTAGTAATGGTGCAAGTTCTTACACAGTGCTGATGTAAAATGATGGGTCAATTCTACTTTCCAACATGGGCACAGTTTGAGGGCCACCAGGAAATGTGCAAATGCACGACCTGCATTACCCTTTTGCAAGTACGCCTCTGCCTGTTTCCGAGAACTTTTAGCTACTTCCAGGCATGCCTCAGGTTTCATTATCTTCTTAACTTGAAACAGAGAATAGGTTATACTCATTACACGTAATCCTTACATCAATAATGAAACTATTTTAACTAATGATTATTATAAACAAGTATTGTATTTGCACTATGTCATGTTCTACATCCTTGGCTTGGACTTATTAAGCATTTATGGAATGTAAATAAATTCTATTCTCTTCGGGTAATTACCTATTATGACCTAAGCTGCCATATTTATATGCACACAGAATTTGTCACATTTGTAAATTGTTATGAGCGCTTGTATCATAACAGCTACTTCCCTATTATCTTATCAGTTAATACCGGTTTAGTAATGTCGCACCAGACGTATGGTTCGCAATTTTAATAGTACCAAAAAAATGGCAGAGAAGAGGCAGAGAGTTTTGTCAATTCAGAGTCATGTAGTTTCAGGATATGTTGGTAATAAAAGTGCAACATTTCCACTACAGGTGAACATTATATTATAATGAAAGCATCTGGGATACAAAATTCTGTTTACTTTAAATTTAAGGGTCCACTTTTAAGTACACACGATAAGATCGTGTAAAAAGCAAGGTTATGTGATTGAACGTAAAATATTAAATGTTACATGAAAGTTTGCACATATATTTGTATACATCTATAAAGACATTAAAATGCCTGATAATACCATTCTAATAAGTTTCCTTGTGAAATATTCCAGGTATTGGGGTTTGAAGTTGATACAATAAACTCCGTCCAGTTCTCCAATCACACTGGTTACGGGTACTGGAAGGGTCAGGTTCTGAATGAGAAAGAACTGGGTAAGACCAAAAGATCGTACGTAACAGGAAACAAATTTTCACACATGACGTGATGGGTAAAAATTGTTGTATCATAATCTATTATTAAATAAAGTGTCCCATATGCCCATAATAAAATGTGGTACTTCTGTTATGCAAATTTATTTGTATATTTTTGTTTATTAACAGAAATTCGTCCCAGCTTTTTCCTTCAAAATCACATGTTCCTGTATGTCATTGTACACACTGCTAGCAACCTTGGCAGCTAACCCATACAACAGATTAAATAGGCATTATCTTTTTGATCTCAAGTAATAGAATGAATTTTACATTCAAATGATCCTTCATAGAATATTAAACGTCTTTAATAATTACCTACAAGGGCCTCTCCTCTCAATGCCTGCCATTGTTCTAATGAATTTCTTTTGGACAAAAAATACTTTTGTATGTTGAATTTCCCCAAATTATTATTCCATATGACATAATGAAATGGAGGTAAACCAAGTAGACTTATTTTAAATTTATATTTTCATGATTGGTACTATGTCCTCATAGCAAAACATCCTGAATTTAGTTTAGGAATGATATATTCAGAATGTGTTTTCCAATTTAAGTTTTTGTAAATTTTTATGGCTAGAAATTTAGTTCATTCTACTTCTTCAATTGTTTTATTATTATACTATATGTTTAGATTAATGCAACTTTTGTTGTTAGTATATTTCATGAAGTTTGTTTTGTCAAACTTTAATGTAAGTTAATAAATTGTTTTTTCCCCAGTTCACATTCTTGAACGCCACATAAAATTATCCAAAAATCCACCATAACTAAAGCTTGGGGCTTGTGAAAGGTTATGCTTAAAAATTGGTAATTTGCTCATTCATAACCATGATATATATACAATTTACCACTGTTAGACATTTAAGTGATCCAAATACATTTAAGTAAATATAAAATAATTTAAAATATTTATTTCAGTAATCACATTATTTACAGGTGTTTTTGCAGACATAAGTTTGGTCTTGCTCCATATTATTCAGTACTGTGGTATCGATAGATATGAATTTTCCATTTCTGTTACAATGATGAAGTACTGTGTAAATAATTTTTCGCACAGAAAGAGTTTGGTACACTTTGTGGTATTTGTTGTATAAGTTGACAGTATCAAATTACAGTTAATTTTTACATCCACAGATCTAGTTAAATGTACAGGATTTCATCTGCTTATTTTTCCACATATGCCCTTTACACTGCAGTGCATTGCATGACGATACAAATTATTTTAGGACTAAATATTTTGTTTAGATAACCCAGTTATATTTTATTCCATGATATAGAAGGCCTTATGGATGGATTACGTCACAACGGATTGGACTATTACACACATCTACTAACAGGCTACATAGGATCAACAGGCTTCCTGAAATATATTGTGCAAGTGGTAAAACAGCTGCGCCAGGTCAATCCAGATCTTGTGTATGGTAAGAATGTATTTGTGTGTCACTAATTGCAGTCACTTGTCAGGAACACAGGTTATGTTCCATGGTTCGCAAGGTCAAGGCTTTATATTAAATTGGGGCTTAAGAGTACTGTGGTTTCAATAAACACAAGCTGAACTGTGCTCTTTAGCCTGCCATGAAAATACAAAAGATCCTATAGGTAATAACATGTTTAAAAATAAATTATCTATAAAATATAAAAGTGTCTCAAAAAGACACGGTGAAGTGGTTAATTTGTTAGCAGTAAAACCAGTCTGTTATAGAACTGAAAAATACTGTTGATGCTTTTTCCAGTAATTTTAAATCTTTAACAAATCTTGTGTGACTGTCATGTCAGACTTTTTATCAATAGTTCCTCTTTATGTGGCTGAAGCCAGCAAGGCTGTAAACTTCTTAAAACTATGTAGGTAAGTAAGGAGTGTTTTGACATCTGAGACCTTCCTCACAGAAACACAATGCTGTCATCCCAGTATTTAAGAAAGGTTAACAGTAGTGCAGCTGGTATCTTAACATCTTTTTTAATTCTTAGATCTATGCAAAATTGGTTTGGATAATGAAATGAACCTTAAGTCTGGAACAGTTGATTAAAATTATTTGTAATAAAACCAATATTAACTTTACTTACATATCTGCTGGACTGAATTGTTCTACACTTCATTCCAGACAGCAATATCTTGACGCCCTGTTCCTGAATGTTTTTAAAATCAAAATTAAGTGCTCTTGCTTTCTGGATTGTCAGTGTACGGATACGCACAAGAATCAGAGACTATTCTACTTCCAACGTACATTGTCACTAAGAGGCTAGTCCCTCAGCTTAGACATATTTCTGCTGATGATGACATCTGCAGGGAAGAAATGGAAAATGGCAAAGATAATGTTTCAAAAGAACTTATCACTTCCATCTTCAAGGCTGAAATGACTACAAACTTCTTCAATTTCTTACTTCAATCCTGATCATGAAAGTGATACAATACTCTGGAACATTGGTAACCATATACAAGAACACATTCAAATGCTCCAAAATATTAATTGTAATTTAAATGTTTTAAACATATCTACTAGTGGCATTAAAACTGTCCAATCCTTTCGAACCTCAAACTCCACAATACTAATGGCAAAGTGCTTTTAATAACTTAATAATAATAATATCTTTATGTATGTAAAAGTGGATACAAGTTACCAATTTCTCTATAGTGTGTGATCCTGTAATGGGAGACAATGGCAAGATGTATGTGCCAAAGGAACTGCTGGAAATATACAAGGACACTATTCTGCCTCTGGCAGATATCATTACACCTAATCAGTTTGAAGCTGAGTAAGTACAATGGTAGTGACACAGAATTATTTTAATAATGTCCACAGTCTGTGAATGTTACTATTATATCACTAATCCTTATTATATGTAGAGATGTGAATTCCAGATTTGTTGAGTATTGGTTTAGCAAGACAAATTATATTATTTATTGAAACACTGCAGTAGAGCACATAACCTTAAATGTACCTTGAATATCCAAGGCCTGAAGTTCTATTACAGGCCATTATTCACAATTAAAACACCTTTGGGAGAAAAATAATGTTTGACGGAGAACTAGAATAGACCGAATAAAGCAATGTTATGATTTACGAGGTCTGAACTAGGGAGATTTTATATCATCAGTAGTATTGTTTTAATTTCATATGATTATTAATTGTGGTGGACTTTCATAAAGCAACATTGAATCCACAAACTCCACAGACGAGTGTTTTTCTTGAGATGCTGATAGTTGCACAGTTGGTCAAGAAATTCTATGCCTTTTAGAATCTGAAGACTAATTAATGTGTTCACAATCGTGACACTGGTCCCGAGCAGCACAAATCCAGTTCAAACACTCATACTACAATCTACCAATCACACGTCAAGCTGGTGTAAGTACTGTACTTTGTTGTCCCCTTGAAACGAAATACGTAATGCACACAGTAATCCTCAAAGCTGAATAGCAATTTATTGCTTAGGTGGCTAGCACAGTTTGAGAAATGTTACGCATGCCACGACAGTTTAGCGAGTGAAGTTACTGGCTGCACGCTGGAACACCGGGATTCAGGGGCATTGTCCTCTGGGGATGAAGTGGCCAGGGCATCATGATATTTACCACTAAAGAGATCAAGAATACATGGACCTATACCTTCACTCCCTCTCTATACCTCCAAGGCTCCCTTTAACACAGTGATACAAAGTTTAAATTCAAGAACTGTTGTTTCAGATTGTTATCTGGGAAGGAGATTAAATCAGCTGATGACGCATGGGCAGCTGTCGAACATTTCCACAAGAAAGGTTGTCGTACTATAGTGCTTTCATCTACAGACTTGGGTGATGATCAAAATCTTCTGGCATTGGCAAGCAGCAGAAGTGGTAAATTTTCATAATTGTTTTGTACGTGTGTCATAGAAAAAATACCGTTTGTTTTCCCAGCCAAGAAAATGGTTTGAACAAAGTAATAATTCTAGAGATGGTTTAGTCTGCAGCTGAAGATAGCTGTCATCTGGGTTGTAGCACCATGTAGTCTAGTAAAAGTTTAATGGCGTTTGAAAGGTGCTTGATGCTTACATCATCAGGGTGATGACTCATACTAACCACCATTAGACCAGTTTTCTATTTTGGTCTCACAGGTGATTATACAAGATTTTGCATCCAAGAAATGTCTTCTCAAGGAGGAACACAATTTACAAACTTTAAATTTCAGCAGTTGAAATACCAGATGTAGCTGAAATATTTGTTAAGTATTTGACATTCTGTTGTTGTAGGATCCAAAAAATGTCCTAGATTCTCCTTTCCGCATTCTTTAGCCAGCACTCCAACATAAAAGTATTCTTAAACTGCTGAGCAGGTGACAAGAGGACAGAACTCACCATCCGTATTCCGAAGCTACCGGGTACATTCACCGGAACGGGCGATCTGTTTGCCGCCTTGTTGCTTGCGTGGATGTGGCATACCAACAACCAACTGAAACTATCACTTGAAAAAGTGATAGCCACCCTTCAAACCGTTCTCGAAAGAACTCTCCATTACGCCAAAGGTACGTTTTTTTAGAGTACCAGAGGACGGATAAAGTCCAAAAAGTCAGTAATTTAGACCCCACTTTTTTATAAAACCCAAATATTGTTTCAATTTTACAATTGCCAGCCATGGGACTTTGTCCTGACCAAAAATTAATTCAAGCCAGACCCTATATCCATTCACTCATTACCTGGGCATAATTGTTTATAATTTATTACTGAAGTAAATCTATATAATAAATATTTACCATGCTGTTTGCCATATTAATAATGGTCAGATGTTTCTTTAGACCTATCATTACAAAAAATTTCTGTATTGCACACCGAACGGTGAACTAGTATCAGCATCAATGAAAGGACTGACTATAGGCCAGAGCAGAGGCAGGTTGTTCCTATCTTTAGCACACAAAGATTGGTTCTGTGGCCTATGCAGCCTTCTACCCAATGGGTACTGAGGACTCTTACCCTGGTTGCAGCGTTCAGCTTCACCTCCAAGTGTCTTATATACTTTTGCATCATTGTGTGCAGGCAACCTTTACACCGAATGGAAATAGTTTTATTCCAACCTCACAGTTTGCATGGCCACAATATTAGTTGAAGACTGTAAATTATATTTTAAAAAAAATGCAGCACAGTGACTAAGTTTCATGGAAATATGTGGAGTTCAGTGACACGCATATTATTTCTGGAGTGAAGACTGGACGTCATCAAGAAAAATGGGAATTGTTGCCAGGCGTAAGACAAATGTTTTCTGCCTAAAGGAATCTCTTTTCTTTTGCCTCGCACAGAAAGAAGTGAATCTGGTGACCCTGGTTTTGCGCTTATGGAACTGCAACTCATCCAGAGTAAGGCTGACATTGAGAACCCACAGACTGTCATAGAAGCAAAAGTGTGCTAAAAGCTTTAATGGTTGACAGCGAACCTACATCTACAGGCCAACCGAGCTTGCAATGAAGGTTTGCTCACACCAACTGGAGTCTTCCAACATATTAATCAGATCATTCCATCATGTTAAAATATTAGTACGGACCAAATAATAGGACTTATGTAATATCACATATATTAATAGATGTAACACTGAATGTTCTGTTTGGGGAAATTATTATACTACTGGGTGTCACGGATATGAATTGGGGACGAGGGTTAGAGATGCATGCGGAACTGTAGAAATATACAGAGAAGTCCACTTATTGATGGCCACAGACATGCTAAAAATCAAATAGCGTACGAGCCAATGCGTTTTGAGAATGCCCTAAAAGCATGGCCGTCTAAATGTGGCATGACAAAGGGGAGTGAATCTGTTCACTGCATATAACACTGACAACGAAATCACACAAGACAAAAGAAAGGTTGAAGTTAAATTTCTAAAACAAGCTGTCGTATACTACAAAAAATAAATGACTGACAAAATGGTAACAGGTCATTTCACAGCAAAATAAAAATAACTAATAAACTAAATTTTTGAAAATCTGTAGTGGAAAGCCATAAGCTGATATAAGCGAAGTACAGTTTCACAGAAAAACATCTTAAAAGTTACGCAGCTAATGTAAAATAATGTTTTCCAGCTATCGAGTTAAAAATTTCACTGTTAGTGTGGCTTTATAATGTTTTGATTTGCACATGTCACATTTAGCATGGCAGAGGACACCACTAGAAGTACGTTTAAACCCTTATTTAAAAAAAAAAACTAGAAAAAGTGTACGTATCAGCTTATGGCTTTCCACAACAGAAATATTCTGAGTCACCTACCTTACCGTAATTTCATTAAATCCTTCAGAGAAGTAAATGAGTACTTTTATGTATTTGAGTTAAACAGTCCTTAACCATCCACTGTACGACAGAAACAAGTAAACCAGCATTTTTAAGTATTTAAAACTGTCTACAACCTAAAAAAACACCATTACTTGAAATTTCAAAGAGGCCTTCCTCTTCCAATTCCATTGGGAATGGGAATTTCAATGTCAGTCGATGGACCTTGTCCCAACTCTAGGCTGGATCCCTCCGCAAGAGATCTCCCTCCTGGAGCCACTTCCTCAGTCCTGTTTGGATTTATTCCACGTCCCAGACCCATGTTCGGATTCAACAGTCGCAGTGCTTCTGAAGTCTTACGTGGCAGGCGTAATGGTTGCATGACATCTTCAGTAACTGAAGGTCCAGACTGAGAGCCACCAGGAGCTGAAGCATCATCATGTGTATCTCCATCCTTTAAACGCTGCAAGCGCAGCCTTTCTCTCAGGCGGAAGGCTTTCCTCTCAGACCTGCAGATGTCACACTCACAGTAGACACAAAAATAAAAATGGTCAACCCAAAAAAGAAGACCTGAGTATATCAATAAATACAACTTCAAATGAGGAAAAGTTTTCTTCCAGAGTTCCTAGAAAAGCAGTAAAGCCGAGAGCAGCCAATTCACAGCTGTTCTCACAGACCCAGTGGCATACAGGCCAGCCTCTGCAGGCGACCAATCCAACCCTGACCATAGCCAGACCAGCTCTCGGCTACCACGCAATTGCCGTGCACTCAAGCTAATGCCTTACTGTGCCTGTATGAAGCCAATGCACAACTTTCAGTTTAAAAGGGTAAGATGACATAAGAAAAAGGACGGCTAGCTTTACTAATCATGTTTTATATCCTCCCTCCAATTTAACTTAGCATCCAGGATAATGCCCCAGATACATCACTGACTCAGTGGAACATATCACCCTATTTAGTAGAACAAATTCTATGAACCTTACAACTTTCTTCCTCTTGGTAAGAGCAGAGTTTTCAGACAGTACTTGGGAATGTTCCACTTATCAACAAGGCCTCATCAGCATAGCCATGAGTGTACAGACTCTCTAAGGAGGTGTGCAAAAAATACATCCACCACCAGGTTCCACATTAGCCAGGACTGAATCCCACACTGCAAAATCTCCCAGTCAACAGAAACCCTCATCTAGCACACCATTTTGGTCTTCACAATCTACTAGCTATTTTCAGCAACCATGTCTTGTCACCATTAACAAATACAATTACGGAACCTCATTATCTAACGACTTGCAGTTTCCTAGGTTGGGTAATTAATTCTACTAGAGTAGTTTATTTACATTCCATAGATCCTTCTTAGGACTCAACCAAAGGACGTATAACATGTCATTTCATACAAGTTATGCACTTACTTTGTCGCTCCATTAAGCATCCGTACTATAGGTGCTGCTTCAATACGTTCTGATGGATCATATGTTGTAGCTTGAGTTTCAGCATCCCAGTTTTCTTCAGGTATAGGAAGTTCTGGTTCATTGTATGGGGCCAGTTGGAGATCACCATGCACAGACTCTTGAACTTCATATTTATGCCCTTCTATGACCCTTCGGTCTGGACATGTACTAACATGGTACTGATAATCTGGTTTGTCAACATGATGTACAGCATTGAATGGACAAACCATTTTTTCTGCCAATGGGTAATTTCGCTTGCATTTAATAAGATGTACCTGCATTCTTGATGTACGAATAACATGGCTCTTATTGTATGGGCACTGTATCTCAGGATCTTTTCCCTGCATTTTTGACCTACAAAATTAAAAACATTCATTTCAGCCAATGATCTACAAATTCGTCTTCCTATAAAACACATAGTTATGACATACTAATTTAAATAATCAACATGTTTCTGTGGCCACGCAAATTTTATAACAAGTGCTGTTAACGGTAATATGAAAGTCGAATTTCATAAGACTCGTTAACTCCGCTGTAAGTAAAACATTCACGCAACTACGACAAGTCCGTTGTCGTGAAAGTTATGTATATACTGACAGTCTACGCACTGAGAATTCCTAAACATTCTAATTGGCAATCGTTTCACACAATTATGATACAATTATCAGTTTTCACTGCAGTGAAATTTAATCGTTTGTTTATGACGTCTTTTGAGGTTGTGGTGGCGTTGGCATTCGAACATGTTGAATTTACTACTGTGCACTCCCGGCTTGCATGCATTGTTTAGTTATCAGTATTAATACATCTATGCTATTTAAAAGCATACAATATCTATCCTACTCATTATACTTATAGTAACTTCACCTTTTTAAAAAAATATTTCCAAACCTTGTGAAAGCGATGAACAAGGAATCCTACATCCACAGATCATAAACTGACCATGACACAATCTTTCAGTGCCATGGTTCACAGAGTTTAAACGTGGGCTAAGTGCTTACTTTTGTCGTTTCATTAACAGCTCTGCTAACTGCAGGAACAATAGTTCACTACAAACTCAGAAAATAATACGTAGTGATACAAGAACCATTCTTAATTTATCCTATATAAAATGTATCACTTTTGCACTGGAGAGCCGGTTGTAACGCTAATGACAAAGCCTAGCATTCGCATTGCCGAATCAGTGGTTAAAGACTAGGTAAAACAACCTTTCAGATACCACAGACGCAGCATTACGTCTGTGACTGCTGTAAACACATTGTTTGTATGCATGATTTTATTTAACAACACACTGCAAGGTATACAAGGTTTTAACATACACAAAAGCAAGAGCCTGTTTCGGCACCAGCCTTAGGCGATCATCCAAATTATTTCATTCCTTTGCTCTATACCTGTACCATTATTGCAGGGTCCATTCTGTAAAGGTGTGGTCATCAGATATTGTATTTTTTATTTAAAATATATACAATTCATGTATCTTTATTATTGACAACCGTTATTGTACATCCAATGACCTTACACAATAAGGTAATTTGCGATACCCAAACACTTGCAATTTTTTTTGTCCATGATTCACCACCATGGCGATTGGATTTTGCTGGCCCAGTGGAGGGCTTTGTATAATTCAATGATGAACCTTCAGGTTCCCAAAGCCATCTAGTTAAGTTATGATTCAAGCACTGGCAATGTCATGGTTTTATACAACTTCATATGTTTTTCTTTCATTATTTTCCATTTATTTTAAATTAAATTAATTTAATTATTTGCACTCGGACATACTGTACTGCACAGAAGGTCTACCAACTCAGTAAAGATTACAGTTTCTTCCTGTTGTCATGAATGTCTTCATCAACATCTTTACAAGGTGTCAGAAAATGCTGATTTGGCATAAAGTGGGTCACTGTGTGTCCGTAAAATAATGGTGGGGTAACAAACAATCATAGTTTTAGAACAAAGCACGATAGAGACATGAAATAAACATCAAAATAAAGACAAACTCTCCAAGAATCTTACCTGTTCAGTAGATTTTGATATATGCTCCTTTACTTGCCCTGCAGACATCAAGACAATATTCAAGCTCTTGCCATACACGACCGAGAACATCCAGTGTGATAGATGAAACAGCTTCAGTGAGCCGTTCTTTCAAATAGTCCAAATTTGTTATTTGGACAGAGAACACTTGTTGCTTCACATAACCCCATAAATAAAAATCCATAGGGTTACGATCTGGAGAGCGTGGAGGCCAGGCTATCCACCCTCCTCGTCCGACCCATCGCTGAAGAAATGTTTGGTTTAGGTAATCCTGCACGAATGTGGAAAAATTTGGAGGAGCTCAATCTAACTGGAGAATTAAATTCTCCGGTGACTGTTTGTTACCCCACCATTATTTTACGGACACACTGTATATATCTTCAACAGTGAGATTATCGTCCATAAGTATAGGACAAAGAGTTGAGGCTGCTAGATGTTTTCATCATATAATTTTCTGGTATATTAACCACTAAACCAAAGCAGTACCAGCCCTTCTATACTACCAAAATTATTTATAAGATCTATTTTAATACCTGGTTCCACCAAAAGTGCCAAGAACTGCAGCTAATAACATAGCCTTTTGTCACCTAACAATATCACAAGAAGATAAATCTGTATAATGTGATTCTCTCACCTCTCATTTACTTAATCACAATTATGTTCAATTTCTTACAGTTTAAGTTCCTCCATATTAAGAGACTGTTTCACAATTATACAAAACTATAAGAGCAAAACAACTGATCCACACATTTCATTTTAGATATCAGACAAGATATATCAGTAAGAACTTCCAGAAGATATTTTAATTTCACTGTGAATCTGATTTGTACTTCCGTTGCTTGCTGTGACTTACGTTTAAATAATGATGAATAATAAGCTGTGTTCATATGAAGTACGTTACAGGTACAATGTCCATATGCACAGCCGAATCAACAAACCTTACCGACAGATATCCCAAAACAGTAACACCCCACCACATCAGGTGGTATTATTTTGGGACATTACCAATCTTCACAGGCTATAAACATTTCTTTCAATACAGTTCCCTTATAGTGCACTAATGGCCACATCAGTGCAGTTCTTGTCCCAACAGAGAGAGCTGAAAAAAGAAACAGAAAATAATTAGACCTTTTGGTGCAAGTTTCCAAAGCAAAGACAATGACTGCTGTACAGTCTTTAGGTACAGATATTCCTCTTTACATGAGTGTTAAAAAAATGCAATATAACTTCAATGCACATAACTAATTTAGATTTATTTTAATTAACAGTGCTCACTTGAATGTGCCAGGGAGGAAAATCTTAATAAACTTATCATCATCCAGGTTAAAAATCAGTTATGATACAGTAAGTATCAAAAGAAGGCAAATTACATTGAAAGTCTAAAAAATGTGAATCATGCTTAAATGTATCACAGAATTAGATGATTTATGAGGATGGTGGCTACTGCTAATTCAGTAATATTTAGAAATTTTGTGACTCAAATCCCAAGGTTGCCTACACAAACTAGAGTGTTGACTTAATATTCTTAAGCATCTTTGTCTGCACTGTAATTTAGTACAGTATTGAAAAGTGAAAAATTAAAATTTCCAACTTAATTCATACAATGTATAACCAACCTAAAACCAAGCAATATCTCCACAGGTGTCAATCAAGAATACAACACCGGCCGCAAGAAAAATAAATAACTTAAGCAACACATACATAATATTTACCTGCTTAAGGAACTGTTTTGCATTATTCAATGTTGATGCGCCATAGATAACTCTCTTGCTGGTAGATCCACCAGCTTTTCCCTAAATGGAGAACAGGAAGAGAATAAGACACAGAAATTTTCCAAACTCTGCACCAAATAAGGAATATATAATTACAAGCAGTTGAAACCTGCAGGGGGAGGGGGGGGGGAAGAGAAGAAAAGGATTCATTAAACTTACCTTTGTAAAGTCAAGAAGATTCTGATATTCAATGTAGTTGCCACCACCAACCATAAATACAATGGCTTCCTGGAATGGAGTTCGGTTGCGAGGGCTCTGGGAACTGTCTGTTACTCGCAACTGTTTAGGATCAAAATACCGATAGTCCTCTGTTTCTTGTGAAGTATTCATTTCCATCAGTTCATCAACAATTCTTGTCACTGGTAAATTCTGTTTGGAGAAAAAAGGTTGATGATTGTTAATTCAATCTACAGTATAAAAACCTACAAGGCTACAGAGCATCACAACCCAGAATCCAAAATTTACTCTACTCACATGCCGCTTGACGACCAAGTTCTTTACCCCCTCCATGACAAAGGAAGAACCCTGGGAAACCAGCTTGGAGAACATTCCGACCGTCTTGGTGCCACCACCAACATACTGGTTTGGTGTTGCAGCCATCTTAGCATACGCTCTGAAACAAGTTTTTGACAACTGGTAAATCACGATGCTCGTTTCATACAGCAGCAACATTAAAATGCATAAATCCACTTTTTCGTTCATTCCGTTCACCATCCTTTGCTCTGAGGGAAGAACAGGTACTGAAGGTATAAAAAGAAACTACTAATTCACGAAACAGAAACTTTAAAAGGAATAACCTGAAATTATGTGCGTCAGTTAATACATGACATCTCATTAAAAAATATCTGTGACACTAGAACACAAATCGATTAACATAAATTCTAGCTGTGCAGCAAACAGATAAATATCTTAATACTGTGCAAATGTACTTCACACTTACTTCCACCTCTTGATATATGAAAGTGGATGGAGGTCACAGCCAGCACTCTGCAAAGCAGCCACGTAGCGGTCGAACTCAGCCTGTAACACAATACAAAATCTTAGATACACCAGAAATAGGATTCTATTGTATGGACATAATACATAATTACCATCTGTCTCCCTGTACTCTCATGTTCTTAAACTTCCACTGTACATGCTCTAACGTACGTTATAATGAAACACAAGGTCCGTACCTCTGATATGGAATGTGAGCATATATAGAAGATTATAAACAGTCTCATCTTGTCTTCTGGGTTACCAGCATCTGGGTCTGTGAGCAGTTCCATGATGTTGCGATCCAGCGTTGCAGGTTTACTCATCACTTTCTCCTCAAACTCAAACAATGTGTCCAGTCGACGAGATTTGATATAATTCAGGATTGCTATGAAAAGAAACGGAGTATTCACAAACAATCCTTATTACATACAGATATTAATTAAGGCTTGGTGGAGATGATCAATGGTAAGACCAAGTCCTGCAAAAATAAGGCAAGACAGCAAACATTTCCAGACCAATAACCTCTCACATCTGGCTGATTACGCTTGGATGGTAATATTAGGTCACAGTTTACATCACTCATGCACTTACTAGTTTTCAGGATATAGAACTTCTGTCAGACTCTGCCTTGCATTATTTATACAACATGACAACTGAGGAACACAACCATACAGTAAAGGAAATAAATATTATAATACAAAATTGTGTAGGATTTGAGGTTTTCACGGCAGTGAGTCTGAAGATGACTGTCGTTTGGGTTGCTGCGCCGTGTAGTCTGGCAGAAGTTTACTGACATTTCAGAGGTCCTTGCTGCCTCCATCATCCTGGTGACTAACATGCTCAAGCAATACTGATACATCAAACCAGAAGCAAGGCCAAGCTAAGCAAGTACTTGACTCCGCCCCCGCATTGGCTTGCACTCAAATATGAACGCAGGCATTGAACAGGTATATATGTGGGATTGTAAAGACATACAGTTGTATAATAATGCTGATGATGCGGGCTGAGACAGTCCCTGAAATGGTGGTGATTTTTAACCAACTGACACAGCTGACAGCCACAGATTTTATTAATGTAAGTCAATTAAAAGCTTTACATTATCTTCAAACCAACATCATTCTTCCAATCATATAACATTATAAAAATGAGACATTTATTTCTATGAATTACATGAATAAAAAAGATGTTTACCGGAGGCCACCGTCGTATGCATGTCAATAAGTTTTTTCTTATCCAGAAGCTGAGGCAGAGAATTGACAGCTGATGTGAGACGAGCTGTGTTGTCTGTTACCATCGAAAATGCTGCTTCACTCTCATTATCGATCCCCTGCCAGAAAAATAAAATGATTAACTTCATTGCTACATCGTGCAGCGAACTTAATATCAGAAGGAAGACTTGTCCAATGCACGCATCCATGCTAACAGTGGTAAAATACTATTAACGGTACTGTGTAGCATTGAAACTGTACAGCAACAAAAATATGTATCACCCAAATAACAGTCAAAGCACGAATAATTATGAATGAATAAGGAACTAAATAAATGTATCACTTACTTCATTGTCCCATGACAAACGTTATAACATATATTTTGTTTGAATAATAGAGTACCTTTGCCGTCAAACCCCTCTTTTTCAAAGATTGTAGGCCTGGCAGCACAACGGTACCAAGGATAATGGTCAATGCTTAAAATAACTGTTATCTAAAAGTAACATTCACTATTACTGGATCGCTTGTCTCTGTTTTTTATAAACTTCTAAGAATTAAATAGTTGTAGCTCTATACGAAGACATTTCCTGATACATGCTGACCAATAAGTTTTAAATTATGAAGATGCTGGAACTGCCCATATCACTCCATTAAGATGCAGGTATTTTAGACAGATTTTAAATAACAAAGGTACAAAATTAATTACAGTACATAATAACAGAAAGCACAGTGGACACCTGATTCTTCTTTAGAGTATGTGAAACAGAATAACCTGTCTGTCACCCACCATCGTGGCCTTAAGCTTCTTGACCTCCTCTTCTGACGATCTGTATTGCTCCAGCTCCTCCTGAATAGCTTCTGCCACAGTGGGAAATGGACTACCTTTGTGTGCCATCCAGAACCTGTCTCGTGAATCCAGATCACAGGCACGGGTCTTCACTTTAGCCCCACCTCCTGGAGAACGGCCCACATTCTCTTCGACTACCACTCGGTTGAGAGTTAAATCCAAAACATCGTGTGCCAATGCCTGTAAGAAACAATAATATCGAATAACAAATTAAGAATACACCCTAATTAACTTATAATTTATTTATAATTAACCTTACCACAGATTCCTTGACAAGGTTTCTTTTCAAAATCTTTTGCCTGTGACTTCACTTGAAAACGAATTTATGGTGAAGAATTAATAATCAAGAACATTACTGATTCAAGATTTGGCTGGCAAATAAAAGGCTAAATTTCTTCTAAGTCACAAGACAAGCTCCCATGTCTGCAAAAGATGTTTTAATATCGCCCTCCCACCTATAAATCAGTCTTTTAAAAATCTTATTCTCTATTTCCCCACCAAAATTTAAGTTCATTTCCCAGCATTCATGCTGTACACATTTTTTTTTAACTTATGATCACATTTTAACTGCCATATGGAACAACGATTTCTCACGCGTTACATTCAGGTCAATTACTCTTCATAATGTACTTTCTCCAAGTTCTCTTTGCTCACAAAATCAGTAGTCAAATTGTTGCAGAATAAATTGTATTTAATGTCAACAATATAAAACTGAAAATCACTTACAGTGTAGCTGGCTGTGTTCCGATATAAAAGGGCATAAATACACACAATGTATTACCTTTAATTTTACAGAACTTGTCATGATTCACTCCCTCCAGTACCAGGTATCTGCTTACCCAGAGTGCTTATAATCTTCCGCATTACATACAAGATATTGACAAAACTGATGTCCCATTGCAAGATGTTGACTGATTAAAGAAAAACAGAAATTTAAATTAAATAAGCACCTGGTACGTCCATGTGTGATGAAGGGGAGTTGCCATATCAACATTACGATCGAGGATGATAAGCAGCGGCCGCTGAAAACTAAAATGGACCCCACCATGAGATGCAGAATCCATTTGGAACAGATTATTACGAGTGTCCCTGAGAATCTCACGTAATTTTTTGTCTAGCTTTTCTGCTACCATCTCAGCAGCATTCCCACGCGGGCACCTGATCACAGGAATAGTACCTGCAATAAATGGATCTTAAATAAGACGTAACTGCTCCACGTGCCCTTTACGTTGAACTTTCAGTTGTATCTGCTATATAACGTAAATATGGTAGAAAGTTTCCTTCCGACATCTTTTCTTCATTTCATTCCATACTGCTTCTTCTAGATGTAATGGACGTACCCAATACATACCTCAATACAAAATTCTGTTTAAAGAAACATATCTTAAATGATACATTAGTTGATTTAAGGTAAATATTTTGTATGGATATGTTTGGGATGCAATATATGCATATATGGGGGAAAAAAAAAAAAAAAAAAAAAAACCAACAACAACAACAACAACATTAATCTGGTTTCATTATGGACCAAGATTAAACAAACTTTGATCACCAAATATATCCCAGATGATACCTGCATCATGTGACACTTCAGTGCTAGCTAGACACGTTGAAATGTTGTGGACTTCGCTTTATCTCAGCCATAAGACTTCTATTCAACTAACCTTGTGACGCGTATTGTAATCAGTTGTAACTAAACAAGCCATTTTAATGTGCAGAACACAAAAATTCACTTAGATAATTTATATATGTGATGAATTTTCTGAAGCACATAAACAATAACATTTTTGTGTATCATTAGTGAGATTGAAATTGCTGTTAACAGCTTAATACTAATATATATATATATCTACCTAATGTAGCAAAAACTGAGAACAGGCTGTCCACTATTGTATCCATGATGCTCTCCATTTCTGTGTCTTTAATCTCACCTCTATTTATTGCTGAAACAAACAACAGGCAAGAACTTAGTTCGCTTTATTTAACACTCAAAATTACTTTAATCTCATATAAACACACACACAGACACATATACAAAAATAAATTATGTTGATTTGCATACATCCTGCATGTAGCCTGTGCAAGCAACGTGTCGTATTGCATATCACATTATAACATTTGTTAAAACAGAAATAAATACCAGAATTAGATTTACTTAAAATATGAAAATTGTTTAAAAAGTAAAGAACAATAAATGTTGTGAGGTATGGGCTCCAGAAATATACTTGCTCATTCCTCACAGGTATGTCAGCAGAGTTTCGTAACAAACAAATTACTTATTCCAATGTGCAAGGTGCATGATGAAATCACATGTATTTCCCTTTTATTTTCTGGTCTTAAATTATAAATTTCATAAGATTTACTATCTCCCATAAAAATATTTGCATGAAACACATTGCAAATGCATAGACAAGCATATTTTAAGCAGCTTGTTGACTTAAGCTCCTTTTCTGGAGCCCTGCTTACAGGATAAAGAGTCTCCAGTAATCACTGATCGTACTGACATACACAGCCATGTGAAGTGTCATATGATGATATGAATAGTGTTGTTATTAAGTCAGAATAGATAATCCACCATCTTTTGGCTGGCTGCTTCCTCACTTTTTAGCACAGCATTCAGTCTGCAATGTATTCCTACTCGAGTGATGTGATTCTATGAAACTTTTATGTCATAATACTGTTAAGAAAAACATGCATTGTAGACATAACTGACCATAATATGAGATGGCTTCGCTATTCTGATGTTTCAGGAAAAACATATTATCCTCCAAAGAGATGAAATTCAAGTACTGATCGAAAACCTGCAGAGAAGAGAGAAAAGTGAGTACATCTTCGTGGTTTGGGCTAATGACTGCAAAACATTTCAGCACATTTAATAAAAATTACTGTATACAAAACAGAGTTATAGCTACAATGGAGAATGAGATGGGCAGCGTAGGAGGCAAGTAACGCTGGACATTTGTTATTCGGACAAATGGAACCTGCAGTTTGCAATATAAAATAATGGAAAAAAAGACACTAGCAGTATCAATTTTTGATTAAAATTTGAACGAATGGGAAGAGAACAAATTCACAGCATTCAAACCAGAAAGCCACCGCCTTCGATGGACTTCTGAAATAAAATATTATTAGCAGGTAAATTACCCAACTAAGCTACATTTTAGAAAAACTTTCCACTTTCTGTTCCTTATACAATTTCTAGGCTAGACAATTATCATGATTTCATTTCATTGGCAGCGCTCAATAAAAACACCTCCATCATGGCACAATTATCATGGTCAGTCAATATGGCATTATGATTTCCTGCGTATTCAACATTCCATACAACATACATAATCCTATGAATAATTACTTTCTGTATCTGTGATACACAGTTTGCTTGCAGTGCTGCAGCAGCCAAGTCTTCAAGCCTCTGTCTTGATATCGGTGAGATAAAATTGAGATAGTAAGCATCATACAGGTTACTTTGAAAGTCCTGCCCGATGCGACCCAAATTCTCTTCTGTTGGAAGACAGAAATAAACTGCAGGGACATCAGGGATTGGGTCACGGTCTGAATGAAGTTGTCTGCAAAGAAGTCAGATGTCAATTATACTATTTTGTGCTGGTTATAAAATAGCAGGGCTTAATACAAAAATGTATAATTCAAAACATCACAATTGAACACAATGAACCAATTCTGAACTTTTACAAATAGGCTAAACGACCATACATTCAAAATCTTACTCACACATGCAATGTTACTCCCATTTCTCGTAGTTCTTTGATTGAAATCAATGGAGATATGATATCTTGACCACAGCGATCATAAATTAATATTTTCCATACTGGTTCTCCAGCTAATGTCTTAGTTTGTGGTTGATTCAGATTCAACATCTGTTTCAAAGCACCTGTCACAGAGAAAAGGTGTAAACATAAAAGATTTACATGACTTGACACCATGGCAATCTTTACAAGTAGGGTTATATTGAACTCTTGACTCACAAGTCAAACATTGTAAGAGCTGTAGAATATTATATTCGACTTTTTGTTACTTTTATAAGGCTTACCTATCTGTTTTTCTCTTAATGTCACCATGTTTCACACGCAAACTTAAACACCTACAATTAATGACGTGTACACACATTTAATGACGATTGTTATGAATGTAACCCTAGCGTTCGATACACAGAATCGATTAATATTATTGTATGTAGAATCGTTTCACAGATAAATAACAAAACACACAGGGAAATTATACCTTCTATACCTGATTGGCGAATTCACAAAAGGTGCGTGAATGTCATTGGCTGAATATTTAACGGACTTTTCGTTGTCGTTGGTTAGATGTTCGTTCTGTTGGCTAGTGTTCTTTCGCGCGAAAAGTGGCTGCTGATTGTGAACCTCGTGCAGTATTAAATTGTCTAACATTATAGGAGCTGATAAGAATTTTAATTTTGTTTGTTCAAACTTTTTGAAGCCATAAAATGTCTGGAAGAGGAAAAGGTGGTAAGTAATATTCTTAATACAGGTTTATTATTGTATAACTACATTATAATAAGTCATACCATAACCTCTTCCACTTTCGTAAAAGTACTTCCAAACTTAAATCTTTTTACTTAGGTAAATCAAAGGGAAAGGCAAAGTCCCGTTCGAGTCGTGCTGGTCTCCAGTTTCCTGTTGGTAGAATCCATAGATTATTGCGGAAAGGGAATTATGCAGAACGAGTTGGTGCTGGTGCTCCAGTTTACTTGGCTGCTGTTATGGAATATTTAGCTGCTGAAGTTTTGGAGTTGGCTGGAAATGCTGCAAGAGACAATAAAAAAACGAGGTATGGTTTGATAGACTATTAATAGATTAGCACTTTTCAGTGCGAAAATAACTCAAATTTTAACTTCGGACCAAAATTCGTATGAAAACACCTGCTACCACAGAAACAGGACTTCAGCCCTGAAAATGGAGACATGTTTGTCTGAAATAAATTTATCTACTTATGATACCACCCACATAAATGAGAACATTAGCTAAATAATTAAACTGGTGGAAACGAAGTAATGAAGATTTACCATAACAAATACCACTAGCTTTGACCTTGTTACAAGTCTCTGATAAAGAAAACTTGTAAAAAATTAAACATTAATTTTAAGACAGTTTCTGTAATTTGATGTGTACAGTGCACCAAGCACACTACTGTAATACCAAGAGTCCTTTAATGTGAGAGTTTATAAATTTGTAATTTCCCACTAATGTACCGATATATTCATCGGTACATTAGTGGGAAATTACAAATTTTCAAACAGTGGTTTGGAAATAGCAGTTGCATTGACATAGTAAGACTATGACTTAATGTAACTAGACACGTGAGGGAACATAATATTTAAATATTATAAGTCTGTAAAACCTAAAACCTAAAACATTCACATTTTCTTTAACCAGGATTATTCCTCGTCATCTTCAGCTTGCCATTCGCAATGATGAAGAACTGAACAAGTTGTTGTCTGGAGTAACCATTGCCCAGGGCGGAGTGTTACCAAATATCCAGGCTGTGCTCTTACCAAAAAAGACGGGCCAAGCTCCAGTTCCAAGCAAGGGTGGGAAATCCAAATCTCAGTCTCAGGAATATTAAAAGCGTTCATAACATTACAACAGTGGTATACTAGTTGAAACATTTTCAGTGGTATGCACATGTAAGAAAGTTGGCATTAAAATACTTAGTTGAATATAAATTCGTGTGGTTCTGCTATAAATTGAGTGAATGTTTCAGCCAACAAATGTTGCACGTTTTCTTTCTCAATAAAATTGTAAAAATTATGATTGTCATTGCTCCATTGTTTATTATGAAAACGACTTATTTTCAAATGCCATGTTTCCTGATCTCTGCCAGATGAAAGAAGCACTCACTATTTTTGGAAGGTGAGATTTTAATTACCAACTTCAAGGGATGTGATGTGTTGTTTCTTCTGCCTTATGTGAAGGTAATGTTGTAAATGAACTTATGAAGAAAAATTCAGTTGTACATGAAATGTAAAAGATTTCATTTGTGAGTAATAAACCATTGACCAGTTCTCAATTTCCCGTCATTAAACATAACCCACCTCCTTTTACAAATGTTCACCTGATGAATTTTTGTTTGTACATTTGAGAATTTGGCAGCTGTTTTCTGTGTGTGAAAATGAATCTGGCAACAAAACCTACCAAGCTGTGCTTATGTTGCCCACCATTCAAGCAGTCACATTTTCCTTTATCTTCTATATACCCAAGTCTACAAGGTGTCATTACTAAAGCATCCTTTAAAACTAATGCAAATAAAACCTGCAAATTATAGAACAAACAAGCTGGACAAAAACAGAATGAAACTTAAGGTAGGCCTACCATGAAAATGTCAAGAAATTTGGGGGTCCAACTGTATGTGGATGGACTTGGTGAAACTTTACATTTCTTCTAAAAATAATAATCAATGTAACTTGTTGCACCTTGGTAACTGGATCTGCTGAGACAATGTGACATTTCACTGCATTATCATTACACATAAGGGATTCCAAAAAGATTATCCATATAATGGCATACCTACAAGCTACATCAGCCATTCAATGCAGTCCTACCAACCATATCAGACTTGATTTCAGGCAGCTATTCCCTCTCCCTTGTCTCTGCTCTTACACAAAACATAACATGAAAAATCAAGGTACGTAACAGCTGACTGCACCAGTGTTACTGTTCTATGACAGTAAGTCTTCAGCTGATTAAGATGTAATTCGATAATTTAGCAGTTTACCCGAACACAACCTTGGATACCCTAGTGTGCCTGCCTTTGGTCTAGATGCCAGACACATGCTGGGCCCACGACTTAACCACAGCATTCTCTTGGCAACAGCAACATCCCAACTAATTTTCACACATTGTTCCAAACTAACATGCACTCTCTTGGCATTCTGGGAAGTGTCAACAAATTGAATGATTCTAATCTAAGAGCGTCTACCAATACATGAATTGGTAGTTATGTTCCCAAGGTCCATCAGTCTCTGGTAAAGGACGAATCCTCGTCATAGATGGTAGCACCACTGAATGAACCCCTTATAGCCAGGTAGCTTCATAAGACAATGACCAGAGGTGCTTATCACAAATACAAAGGTCAATAGGGAAGCTGAAGGTACATGATAAGGTGGTTAACGTGTTTGTAAGGACAATTTTTAGTGGTTCTAGAAATGGTCAATATCGATGTTTCCCATCAGTGACAAGAAGAATTAACAGCTGTAAATCTGGACTTAGTTCCATTTTAATAATACTGTCAATTACAAGCTACCATAAGCTTGGACATGAACTTGAAAACTTGATCAAAACACCTTACTTCTCCCCCACTATAAAATGTACATTTACAGAGGCCTATAAATATATGTGGGTCAACATAAGCTGCAATGACAGCAACAATTCATTTCAGTGCTCACGACTCCTGTAACAGCGAAACACACGGCAAATTCACCGTAATTGGTAACAGCCACATGAAAATATGGTTCACGAGTTAAATGCTTTCTCTAAATTTAAACATAAAGTAAGTCTGAGTATCACAATGAATCCACATATATGATAAAAATAAGATATTACAGAACAATTACATTTTGTTAACATGATTCAACACTGATAATAATGGTACGTGTCTTTTTTACAATTTTAATCCACATGACAGTTCACACACAGATTAAATCACAGATTAAGGAACATTATTGGTAGCCATTGCAATTGGCCATGAGACTGGCCCTTTTAACACAATGTCTTCCAAATTCTGTTTGATGCTAACAAAATGGCGCTTAAACTCTAAACCACATCCTTTTGACAATCGAAAATCCAGCAATGTCTTGCCATCCATATCAAGAACAGCTGCTTTGAAAACCAGCCTCATATTGCGTTTGTCTACTGTTGTGATTGTTAACTGAAAAATAAAATAAAATTAGTGAAATTGGAGTAAAATTATTCATAGCATTTAAAAAAACGATAAGCCAAGTTTACAGAAAAGGAACAAAGCCTCTTATATGAATATGGTCAGAAATAGTTCCCAACTGACTGTTCTAAGCTAGCGTAACTTGACACAAAAAAGTAAAATTAATTTTAGCCACGAATATGAAGATGAAAAACTTTGCTAAAATGTCAACAAAAAAGTCACAACAGCAAAGCTAAAAATTTCCAAGAACTCCCCTGAGAATTTTTGACAAGATGGTCGGAGGAACGTATCTGAAAATGTAGCAAGTTGAGGGTCTTTCGGAATGACCCATAAACATGACGGGAAGACTTAATTGCAAGATGGGCATGCATCATTTTAAATTAACAGAGAACAAATACCACATACCACTTTGGCTGCAATTTTCCATGAATAGCTCAACCTATCAAGCATTTTGCACATTAGTTCAACTGTTTCCTCATAGCTTGTACGCACAAAGAAACGAGTCATCCGCCGCACCAGTTTCTGGAAGGTGTTCTGCAAAACAAAACATTGAGACTGTAACCCACTATTTATAAAAGTGAACCGATTCAAATATCACCGCATTCAGCTATCTACGTTGGTATACCTGACTGGATGGTTGAGTAGAAGGCTGAGTCGTGTGAAGCTGGGAGTTCAGGAGCATGTCATCGAGATATGCCGGCTGCGAGAACGAGGACACCTTTTCTTCTAGCATAGCAGCAGCAACACTGGAAACTGGTACACTGGGCTGCTCTAATCTTGGTTCTGGCTGAGATCTGCATAATCTGGCCATCGAGTCATCCAAGGCAAAACCATCAGATGCTGCACCAGGAGGAGAGATTGAAGACAGTTCGGCGCCAGAGCACACCCGCTTGTTACGATGCCCATCTCTTGGTGAAAACGTGTCCCTGTTTGGTGATCCTGAAACACGTTCACTGAATGAAGTACATTTGATATTAAAATTTCAGTCACTTAAGATGCAGATTTACTGGACATTTAAGGAGTTACCATGAAAGCTGATTAACAACAAAGTGACGGTTGCATTTATACATCTTACAACAATTAATATCACACACAAGGGTTCATCAGAACTACGTAATGTGTTATAATGTACTGACTCCATCTACAGGACAGACACTTCTACCCTGAAGACAGAGAGATTCTTTCAAACACCGTCGACACCTACAAGACTTATACAGCACCACAACCTAAAGAACCGTGATGCACATTTTCACCACCATGAAAGCCCCTAACTTTCCCATTACATAGTATGCAAACAGATATGAACCAATGACATGCCTCTGTGATGGTGACGAACCTTCTGGTGCCATAGCAGGGGATATTTTTAACTGCTTAATAACAATCGACTACTCAATGAAGACCGTATGATGGAGACGACCTTCACGAACATAACTTTAAGACAAAAGTTTGAAGTGCAGAGCATCTGGATCACTACACAAAACTAAACTGCAGACTACACTGTTTTCCTGACTTCGGTAATTTAGCTTTATGACGTCCACTCGCACTCATACAGCTAGATCACCAAAGAGAGGACAACAGCATCATCTTCTCTCTTCTTCAGCTTTGGTGCTTTAAATCAAACTTCTTCCAATGGTGATTTAGCCAATGTATTTGCTTTGGTAATCTAGCTTTATGACCTTGTACAGCAATCATACAGCTACATCACCAAAGAAAAGACAAATGCTTATGGGTGACCCGGTAGATCTACTGCAAGAGGATGCAAATTCTGTCCACAGAGACGGATACCAAGTTCCTTTGAGTGTCAATGTTCCTCAGAGTCACTCAGTACCTGACTAAGCACACAGACATTTTCAATGAACAAAAATACACACATACACATCGACACCGTTTGTTAAATGGCCAACCACTAATAAAAGAACACGATATTAATCTTGTAAATTCAGAGAGAAAATCTCTTGTCAACAGCCAACAGTTTCAAATACACACAAAGTACAGTTATTTTATCTCCATGTTATATTTTTCCAAATATATGTGCCCACTACTGTTCTGGGGGGAGTAAAATAATAATATAATGGAGAAGTAAAACAAATGGGAGGGAGGATACTTTTAAAAACTTTCAAAGCAACATGCGTTATCTGAATAACAACCTTCAAGAATTACTGAAGTGCGAATGAAGAAAAACTAATGACAACTGTTTAGTCAGACAGGAGACAGTGGTTTTGATACTCAGACAGAACTTGAAATCTCAAAAGGGCATGACCATCACAATGATTATAATGATCACAGATAAGCAAACTCTAGTGTACTTACCTAATTTATCAAAATACTTCTTACACCAGCGGTGAGCCTGTATCTGCTTTATGTTTGAGCGGCCAGAGGGTAAAGGAACAAGGATCTTCCGCACTAGGGACAATGCCAAATGGTCCAACTTACTCCATGGAGTCTGATGTACCGCCTTACCATCCTTCCAAACCATGTACTCTTTACATTCTCCAGTTGGCTGGTCCCATGGTAATTCTGTAATAAGAATATTTTCAGCCATATTGCATACCAGGAGAGTAGAGAAATTTTGGTTTTTCACAAAATGCTTTGCTTCTAGCAACAACTGTCATCAGAAAATATTTGTCTTCTAGTTCATTAAAATTGTATCTAAACTACAGTGCATGTGGTGACTTCTATGGCAAATTTAACAAACTATTTGAAACAGCAGCACTTTAAATTGTGAAACACTTCTTGTATTGTTTTGACAGGGTTTGGTTGGGAAGGATTAACACGTTTCAAACCACATTCTATGCACACTGAACCTTCTGATTTTGCTCATGACATAAAAGCAACAAAACTACGCAATTAAATTACTTAACTTCATGCTGGGTATGTAACAATGTTACAGTGTGAACACAATATAAAATGCAATCACAAGGAAACAGTGTTTGAAACATTTAATATGTCCACTGATAGTTTCCAGGATGAACTCTAATCTAGAAACGTGCGTGAAATGACAACTTGTCAAACAGTAAACATCAACATTTTCCTATGCAGTCCGTCAATTAATAATCTATGCTTCAAGTAAAATACAGTGTTTCAAAATCGCACAAAACATGTCAAATAGTTGACACCATTCAACCACTTTCTACACACAAATAAGGGTCAAGAAAAGTGCACTACAAGCACAAAAAGATTGACTAAATTATGTGACAGAAGGATTGCCAACTTTCCTAAACATACAAAGAAAGCGACTGTACGTACACACACACAACCCGGTAATTCAAACACCCATACTGTGCATTTGTGCAACATTCCTTCATGCTGTGACGATGCTGTAGTGACGACTGGAACACGGTTCCTGACTTTGGTACAATAGCTTTAGGAGGAACCAACACGACCTACAGCTAGGATACCAAAGAGAGGACCACAGTTCTCGCTATCTTCAAAATGGTGCAAAGCAAATTTAAAATGCCATTCACACTTCAAATCAATCTGAATCTCACTCCAGAAGTTCTCGTACAGCCAGTTATTCACTGCCGCAAATTCATGTAGTGGAACTCTCTCATTAAGTATGTTTAGGGGTCACTGTCTCATGCAAGAACATCCCAAAATGTGCATCTACTTTATTATTCATATGTGTGAAGTTCTCAGTACGCTCTGATATCAGACAGGGTTTCAGCTGAGACACTAATATTTTATTTAACGTCTATGTTAATTTCTCTATAGCTGGTACATAATGTATATAATGTAAGTAACTAAAGCATTATATTTATTAATTTAAAGTTTGCCATTCTTATATAGAACAGCTTTAGGGCCAAAGCGCAGAATAATTCCTCTACTTCATACCTGCACGCATAAATTGTCACACAGGAAGCAAACAAAAATGTTTTAATTTTACGGATGTGCTGAGGGGATTCAGAACCGACGACCTGTCACAGTCATCTTGTGCGGCCAGTGCGTGCTTTTATACGTGCATAAGGATTCAAACAGATCTTACACGAAAACATTTGTGCAATACAATGCAATAAAACACAAACACAGAGCCACAAACAATATTTGGAGGACGGGAGGATTACACACAGTTGACCATACCCGTCGCCTTACATGTTAACGAGGAGAAGCATAATTTATTGTAAATAATTAAGTGTAGAACTGAGAACAAATATAAAACTGCGATCACAGAATCCAATGAAAGCCTTACAGCTGGCTGGAATTTATCAGAGGCAGAAAGCAAACGCGAACAAGGGCACTTCCCGTCACAACTCAGTCTTAACTATGCAGATTTTTACTGCTTATCTGTAAGCCAATAAGAACCTGCGTCAAAATTTAAAGATGTGAGCAAGAACCTGAGAAGCAGCAAATATGGCGTCGCCATGCTCGTCACTAATAAAGTACAACAGACTTCACATGCGGCAGACGGTGCACTCGACCCTCACCAGATACGGCGACTACAGATGACACTCACCTCCGGCCAACATCGCCACCAGAATAATACCGCAAGACCACACATCTGCTGGTTCAGCGTGGTATGGCCGCATCAACACTTCTGGGGCAACATATGGCAGCGTGCCACAACGCTTTTCCAATGTCCGCTCCTGAAAATAAATTTAATTCGTGTTAAGACCCGTTCCAGACACAGCATGTCAAAAAACCTTTACAAACAAGTGCAAAATTCCTATATTGTGGGTTTACATGAAAGATAAATAACACCTGGAAGAAATTCATGACAATTACGAGGTTTCCACGAGCTATGATGTACGTACCACAAATGACGAACTTAAAGCAGAACATCAACAGAATTACTACACTTAAATGCATCAGAGACAAACTCTGATTTAAAGTAACACAAAATGTTAATAAGAAAAGTGAAGAAAGTTTGGAAGATTTAGTTGAATAATTCAGTGTTATTAAGCTTATACAGAAAATGCCATATCTGTTTAATAAAACTGACTTCTTAGTGTATAACAACGAAATGGATTTACACAGTGAAATAATTCCTGAATCACGGCTTTAAAAAACATGGTGGAGGAATTACTTATTTTAACTAATTAAACACACAGCAGATACCTGATAAGCACAGTTACAAAATTTTAAACTATCTTCTGAATGACTTCCAACTGCACTGTACGCAACACTTTAAGAGACCCCAACATTTTTTTAGGAGGAAGCATCGGTTTTTGTGCCTTGGCATTACCTACAGAGGCTGAGGAAACACAAAGTTGGTACATCTGGTCACGTACCTTCCTCAACGCAAGTCAGATGAAACGCTATTGTGTTAACGTACACAGTTCATCATTTTCTGAATTGATATCGCACTTTGCAAAACCTCAAAAAAAAGAGATAAAATCTCAGCAGTACCAGTAACGCTTTAAGATGATTAATTACCTTTCCATTCAACCTGAATACTGTAGCCATTCCAAAGTCACTGATCTTAAGATTATCATGATCATCCAACAACAGATTCTCTGGCTTCAGGTCACGATGTGCAACCCCACAACAATGAAGGTACTCCTGTCAGCAACATACCACAAGCACAAATTACATAAGCCAAAACAAAATTTGTCGACATTCTTTGCTAAAAAAACCATCATGCACCAGGAAATTGAAAACAAAGTTTCAATGTCTTAAGACGTAACCTCTTAAAGGACAGAACTAATTTAAATAATACTTTTAAAATGTGGTTCATAATCACGATACTACAACCACATTAGCTATTAATTTTGGTTATAAAGTTTTAGAGAAAAAATATATTCACTCACCACTCCTGAAATTAGTTGCTTGAAATACTTCTGAGCTTCCCAGCTTGCCATACCACAATCGGGCTCTGGATGCAATAAACAAAGGGCCACGTTAATCTCTAGATGCAACTTTGCATGTCACAGCTCAGTAATAACTGAATTAATTAATTATGAAGTACAAACATGGAGCAACACAATTTTCAGTAGGATATCAGATTTTCACAACAGCCAGTAAGAAAATGATTTGTCTTCTAGGTTGTGGCGTCATCATCATCAGGGAAATGATGATGGATGCAACAAGTACCTCTGAAACATCAGTAAACGTCTACCAAACTACATAGCGCTACAACCCAGAAGACAGGCATCTTCATTACGATTTCAGTTTTATTCTTAAAATTATGCAATTTACTAATTTAATTTCATGTCTTATACAAAGATGTTTATGCTTCAAATAATGCAATGGTTTTGGTTCCAGATGTACACTTCTGTAAGACGGTGACTAGTAAACAGAACTGTAAAATAGTTTTGCTTATCACAGTGACAAATAAGCTCTCCATACTGGATTACAAGAATTTTTAAAACATCTTAACATTATGAATCACTTGCTATATAAGTCTTAACCAAAAAAGCCCCAAATGCAAATAGTTTTTACACAACCATCTCAAAGATACACATTAAAATAATCCAACAAAGTTTCATTAGGTTCAATTATTTTTATCAAATCATATTCTTCTAATTCAACGTCTTCTTCACAATATCCCAAGAATTCATTTAGGCCTTCAAAGAGAGAACAGTCATAACTTGTAATGGCCCAAAAGTTTCTTAAAACTGGTTACTTCTGTGAAATCTTACTAGTAGAATGTTACACACGTCCTTTAATGCAGACAAAATACTAGTTTTTTAGTACTCAGCTTCCTGATGTGAGAATAACATTACAACAGAACTACTGGCACAAGATGTACTTGCCTGTTATTATGAGTGCACGGCCCACAAACTGGGAAATGACAATAAATGCACTGATACCATGTTGCCTGCAATCCATGCCAGCAATAAAAGGATAACCAAACATAATCAATAGCACAAATGACCACTCACAGACAACTATGTCCATATTATCCATCATCTTTATAAATTTTCATTATCATTACTCAAACAATCTCCTTCCTTACAGTTCCTTTCTGTGCCCCACAAAAGCATGAAGATGATGCAGTCCGTACAAACATTTGCAATACTATCCGCTACAAATGTTAGCTTTCTTGCTTGCACTGCAAAATTAAGTGCACAAAAAATAATTTTCCTTCCGAGACAAAGCAGACAACGGAAGAAAATTATTGAGTAATTCCAGATCCATAAAATGTCCGTGCCTTACTTTAGTACCTTAAACACAAGAAATTACAAGTTCAAACCTTAATTACCCTGTGCAGGATCTCATGAAAAAAATTCTATTTTGCAACCTGGTTAATGACCTATGCCAGTTTGACCATCTCCATTGCAAACGGTCCTTTTAGACCACAAACCTGAAATTTTTTTAGTATAAGTGCTCACCTATTCGATCGAAGAGCTCTCCTCCTGCCGCGTACTCAAGGAAAATGTACTCCACACTGCCCTCGCGGCGTTGACCATAATACCGTACAATTTGAGGATCAGTCAACATCCTATGAATGCACACCTCCTTACGGATGCTGGTTCGTGCATCCGGATGTTTCTCCAAGTCTATCACTTTCATTGCTACAGCCTCACCTGAACTTCGATTTATCAACAGCTTCACTCTGTTGTGTCAAACATCAATGGCAAAAGGTTAAATTACTTCTAACCTTAAAATAAACTGGTACTGCACAGTGGAATTTTCATTTAATTTCTTTCAATTTCAGTTTTTCCATTACTGTAAATAAAATCAAACATAGCTAATTTCTTAAGGAAAATATTTTCAAATTTAAATGTGGCACTGACAAAAAGTAAAATATAACATATTTTGATTTAATAATTCATCTTTCCAGGCCAATGCTTTAGTATTTATGAAGCATGACCTGCCCCTTTACATGGCAGCTCACCATAACTGAAGTTGAGAGAGGCTTACCTTCAAGAAATTCATGAAGACATAATTAGAAACCTGAAAGACATTTCAAGAGACCTCTTCCTGTAGCTGCGCATTCAGAAATGAAGAGAAGGAAAAAGGCAAAGGATGAAGAAAGAAAGACAATACTAGCATTTGCAAACATGTATAACCCACAGGAAAATAAAGTCAAACATAAAACATTTATATACTATGTATAATTTGTTGAATTATGTTACATGCACTGCACATTCTAGATGTCAGCACATTTTTTTACTTGTGTAAACCAACAACCTCAAGATATTTAGTTCGTAAACCTCTGACTATGCGTTCCATTACGACACTGCCGCTGGCAAGATGAAGAACACAGAAAATCAATGTTTGGGGAACTAGGACCACTGTTAAGTCATTAAAGTCTATGTTGTCTCCCCTTTCACTTTATGACAAATAATACAGAATAGATTAAAAATAAATGAACAATGTCACAAAAACATATACAAAACCAGTAACTTGGAAGCTAAAATGGTGGTTACAGAAAGATCAAAACATTTTTGATAGCCACTTGAATGAAATATTAGATGTCTACATTTGTTCTGATACATTCTAAATGCCACCTTTAGGTATCACATTTGTCTTGTAGAAAACAGTGAAGAGAACACTTCAATTAACAACTTTCTTGAAAATATGCCACTATGAACACAACACAAAAGTAAAATTATAGCAAACTACTTCAAATATTTCCTTATATATCACAACATTAATAACCGAATTTTTATACACAATGACTTTCACCCACACCTTATGCCTTGGTAATTAGTTACTCACTCTCCATAAGCACCTTCACCCAGAGTCTGGGCCAATGTCCACCCATCCACAAATTCCATATTGGTATACAATATGCCTACTTCCTCTTTCTGTACCATATTATTTGTATGGAAGTTTATCTTGCATTACCCTCCATATTTCATGGTAATCTGTTAAAGTAAAATAATACACAGAACACTTCACAATGTCGTACGTACACAGCAGCAACTCAATTTTACTACTTAAATTCAAAAATATAATACCAAGTTCGGT